GGGGCAGTGGCCGTTGGGCTCGCGCCGGGCCCCGCCCGTGCCCAGGTGCCGCCGGTTGGGCGCAGGTGGGGAGCAGTCAGTGACTCGAGGGCGGTAATTCCCGGGATCCAAGCAGCCCATGGTGGGCACTCGGTGAGGGGACGGAGTGCCGGGCAAAGCCGGCCTGGTGGCCGGGGGCTGGCTCATCCTTTGAGCGGCGGGAAGGGCAAGTTTGACGTGCCCGGCCTGCGGATGTTTGAGCTCGTGCTTTGCGCTCCCGAGCGGGGCGGGCGGTCGTGAGGGCCGTGCCCGGCGGTGGAGACCAGAGGCTCCTGTGCCCGGCCCTCGGCGGGTCCGTGGGCAGCGCTGCACCTGGGCTGGGAGCGGGGGGTGAGTGACTGCCCCGGGTGTGGGTAAGGAGTGTCCGGGGTTGGGAATCGGGGGATTAGTTTCATGTTGGTTTCCCTCTGGGAACTACACGGGGAAGTTTCGGAAGGTGCTGAAATGCCTTGTTTGTTTGGGAAGGTGAGTGAAATGCCTTGTTTGTTTGGGAAGGCGCGTGAAATGCCTTGTTTGTTTGGGAAGGTGCGTGAAATGCCTTGTTTGTTTGGGAAGGCGCGTGAAATGCCTTGTTTGTTTCCGTTTGTTTGGACGGAACCGTGAATGGAAGTGCCTGGGGGCGGGAATTTGAAAAGCCAGGAGAAGGTACTGGCATTACCGTGTGCCTTTCAGCTGTGCGTGTCCAATTGCTCATGTGCTGTGTGAACTGTATTAAAATAACGTCCATTTTATTGCAAAATAATTGTGGGGAATTCTTTAAGAGTTTTTTAAGAGTGTTTTGTTAAACTGTCCTGAGAAACATCATGACCTGAGACCATAGTGTGAGCTTGGGACTGTACGTGTCTTCCCTCTCCGCCAACCTCGATGAAATAAATAGACTTGAAGAACTAAGAAATAGAGCAGCTTTTTTGTTGATGTGCCCCTTTCAGCCTCTCAGCAAGACCCGAGTGGTTTAAGCTGCAGTTCTGGCCTTGCCCTGACTCTTGGTTGTCTCAGGGCAGTGCTGGGTTTTGTGTGCCCCTGTGGTGCCCAGGAGGCTCCTGGGACAGACCTGGAAGGGGAACAAATGGAAAACCATGCCCATCAGCATGCCAGAATTAGTTTCTGTCACAGTGCAGATGGTTCAGGAGGTGGTGCTGCCTGGTGGTTTTCTGTCAAGATACTTATTACCCAGTTGGCAAGGGGGGAAACACGTGCGTCGCTCTCGGGAAGTGACATCTCTCCTTCCAAGTGGCTGCTGTGTTTGGAGGTAGTGACCTGACTCCTTGGATTAATCTTTGGTTTAAAGTGAAGGTTGTTGGCAGTGCCAGAGGGCTGGCTGGGGGCTGTGGTGTGGCAGCTGCCTGGCTGCTCAAGCTGGGGGTCAGGGCAGGCACTGTGTCTGAGCGGCTCTGGGGATGTTCCTGGGGTGTCTGCTTTTGGGAACAGCAATGGAAATGTTTGAGATAGTACAGGAGGGGCTTTCTGAAGATGATATCTTCATGGATATTGTTGCAAGTGTATCTTTTATGGTACTGGTCAGCACAGACAATGAAGCAACACATGGGAAGGACCTTTCCGGTATTTAAGGAAAACAAAGCTTTTGGATAAAGGCTCAAAAATAGTTGGATTTTTTTTTTTCTTCTCCTCTTGTGCTGGCCAGGGTAGGAATGTGTGTCTGTTCCTCCCACCCTGGACCTTTCACTCCCTGTCACCAACTGCTTCCCTGGAGCCATAGGGGCACATGTTCTCCAAATAGCTGCTCCTGGTCTTGTGTTTCCTTAGGAGATGCCAACTCCTCTTCCTTTGTTAGTTTTAAATCACAGGAATTGAATTGTAAACAAAATGACAGTTACTCTTCTGTGATCCCACTGATGCAGGAGGATAAAGATCAGAGAGAAGATGATAATAGGGGAGGAATGAGGTAAAGGAATGTGTATTTCCATAAATAAGGGCTCATGTGAGCTCTGGATTGCTTCAGGTCCCTTAGCGTCATCTGTATAAGTTTGTGCAGTGTCCAAACTGAAAGAAAAGGTTCCCTTTAAGTTTGTGTTGCTTATAACATCTCTCAGGGCTCAAATGCCCTTTGGGATCCAAATTCCTAATCTGTGGGGTGCCCTGCCTGCATGGCAGGACAGAACACTGCCCAGAATAAGTGGGTGTTCATTTGTGTTGGGGAAATGACCAGAACATTTCCCTTATTTTTTTATTGCTATAGAGATGTATTTGTGTTCAGAACTTTTGTAAAGTCAGTAGAAATTTTTTTTTCCAAATATAGTTTGTGGAAGTGTCAGTAGTGTGGCCTTTTTTTTTTTACAGCAGACCTAACAAACAATGGACTGATAAGCAGCAGTGGGGATGTACAGGGTTGGCTCTTCCCCACTGACTGGCCATAAATGAAACCCCTCCAGTTTCCCAGAGTGGTTTCTGTGGGACTTTTGTAGTATAAAGGTTAATCACTGCTCTTCAAGACTTTTTCTGTGGCTATTCTTGGGTAAAAATACTCTCTTTTTTCTTGGAACATCTTATGCAGTAGTGTTTTCTCCTCAGGCACAGTTGAAATACTCAGGTGTGATGAGTACTGCTGGACAGATGTGGGATGCTGCCATGTCCAGTGCCTTCATCCTTTTCTCTGTTGAGCAGTGGGCAAATATATGGGAGACCTGTTATGGCTGCACACAGACTTCAGTTAAGGTTAAATATGAACTTTGTGAGGTTACCAAGTGCAGTCCTGAATCTTTGTCTTTACAAAATACCAATTAGGAAAACCCCTGTTTTTCATTGAACTCAGCCCATCAAAAATGGGATAATAAGGGAGAGTAGTGGGGTTTCAGGTCTGGCACTGTTTGGTCTCACAGTTCTGTGCAGCTGGAGTAAGACCAGCTCAGTGGAAATTTTTGTTTAGAGACACTCAAAAGGGAAATGTGTCTGGGCTTCTCGCTGGTGTTGTTCCAGAGAGCTCATGTGAAATTTGAGGTGTTGACATTATTTTGGAGGGGTGTTTCAGTAACAGTCTGTTTCCATGCTGACATGCTTTTTTTGAAGATAAGTAAAAATTGTGCGTTATTTCTGGGGTGAGGCTGGTTGTAAAAGTTTATCATTAACCAGGGTATGACTGTGAAGTTCTCTTCATCTCCTTTAATTTTTCAAGTACTTGAGGATTGAGTGAGCTTTGTATAAATAGTATAAAGTCAAGTGACTTTGGAAATTCAAGGAACCAAGGGAGGATTTCTATCAAGTGCCTGTGATAATGTTTGTAGTTAACAGGAAGATAAAAGATAAGCCCATGTGCTAAGGAGAGACTTGTCCCCCGTGGACTTTTTTTAATATGAGGAAGAGCATTGAGGGCTTGGCAATAAACTTGGGCTCTTATAAAAATGGTGCCTGAGTAGTTTGTTTCCCTAAATTTTAGATTTAGGAAGTAAAGCAAGTCAGGGTGATTGGGAGGCATCCAATGAGCCAGTCATGTCATGTTTATGTGGAAGAAATAGGATGTGACCCTCATGGATGTCTGACTGTTTCCTGGATTTCGCTGCCAAAGCTGCATTCGAGTGTTAACCGGAAGCGTGAGCCTGTGGATCACCTGTCCTTGTTTGGGAATGGGGTGAATTCCAAGGGTTTGGGAAGCTGCCGTGGATGTGGTGGCTGCTGCTGTCTGCCAGCTTGCCGGAGGTGTGAGCGCTGGAGCCCGTTTGCAGCTGGAGTAACCTGAGCTGTTTGTGAGTAAAGGTAACAGCAAGGCCGAGTACCTGTAGCTCAGCCCCAGCCTCGCTGCCTCACTTCCCCAGCTGCTCAGAAATCCTCATCCAGTCAATGGGATTTCCCCAAAGTCAGGCTTCTGTCTTATTATCTCAAATGATAAATGGCCCAGGAAACTTTCCTTGATGTTTTCCGTTTGAAAAACAGGAACGAGCCGTATCCTGCTGCAAGTTAAACACAGCTGTAAGAAAAGGCTGTGGCTGTAGGGATGCAGCTCACATCAGACTCGCCCCTGAGTCACCACTGAGATGCCACATTTAGAGAAAAGGAGAATTTACTTTTTTGATAAGGCAGTTCCTTTCTCCTCCTTTCACAATTCACAGGGAAAGTTTCCTTTTTGTGTAGATTTTAATGACCTCATTCCTTCATATGAAATGCCTGTAAATGAAGGCCTTGTTTTCCCCTGGAGTTGTGTTTAACAGAACGCATTCATGGAGAGGAATAATTGCACTTAGCTTGCAAATTCAAGACCAGTAGTTTGTAGGAAACAAATATCATGGCAAAGAGTTTCCCTGCACTAATTGTTTCCATAGTACAAGCAGCCAAGCAAAGGCTTACTGCAGGAAAGGTATTAATTTAAATAAAAATCAAATTGTCCAAAGGCTAAAGTCATTCTGTCTTCTGTAGTGTGGGACGTTGTTGGGACTTGTTGCTGCAATCAGCTTTGTTTTGGTTAGTGAATGGGTTTCTTACGAGGTGAAGCTTCAGTGAGAGGATGTGTTGTTAATAATTACTGTCCTTCTCTTAATTCTGGGTGCAATTGCCGAACTTTCCTGGACCAAATCAGCTGCAATAAAGAGCAAATGGGTGAAGTTAATGTGTTTGGCAAGTGTCAGGTTAAGAAAACATCAGACTTTTATCTTCTTAAAAAGTAAACTTAGTCCAAATTTTTGATGTAAGTTAAGGCTTTGGAAAGTGATGCATGCCTGGATTGCCATTATTTTAAAAAAAGAATTAGAAATATGCTGTTTTCTGAGTTGATCTATTTGCCACATAAATTTAAGAACTGGATTTGCATCCAGAAATCTTTGCTGGTGTTTTTCTCCAGCAGTGCCTGCTTGCTTCAGTGATACAGAAGCTGGTTGGTTACATGGTTGAGACTTGCCTCATTTTTTTATTTTATTTTTTTTAATGGAAAGCAAATGAGCCAAAACCCCACTGCAAACTTTCATAAATTCAGTGAAAATGGACATTTCCCTGTTTTACCAGCAAGGATGGAATCACAGTTTAGTGCTGAATATTCATTGAAGTCACTGAAATAGTTTTATATTGCATTTATTTCATTCTCTAATGCTGGATTTGCAGGAAAACAAGAATTTTCAGCATTCTGCTCTTGTGTAATAACACTGTTTGTTCTCTTTTCAGATATTGTGGATGGAAGTGACCTGAAGCAATTTTTTGATAATAATTATTCTCAAATTTATTTTATATTCTATGAAAACTTCATAACACTGGAAAATAGCTTGAAACAAAAAGGTGAGTTGTAGAGTTTTGCCAGCAGGCGTTGGTTGGGGTTCCCCACGTGTTGTCCAAAGCAATTCCATTAGAGGCTGTCCAGTGATTATCCATATTTGCATCAATAGTTTCATGCAGCACAGTGTTAGTATTAATCACTTTAATTTCATGGCAGCAGAAGAGATGAGCATGAAAAATTGCTCTCTGAAATGTCAGCAGCTGATGAGATGTCTGAGTTCATTTTCATGGCTAAGTGTCATTTCAGCTCAGAGCTCAGTTCCTGTGCTTTTACTCATGTGTCCTCTCACCTTCTTCTGGGGTCCTGCAGCTCAGGCTGTTCGGGTGAGACGTGGTCAGAGCACAGGGAGGCACCACAGTTTGGACCTGTCTGGGGATGTTGGATAAAGATGAAAAATAAACTGGGCGACACCTTTGGTTCAGCTGAACAACAACAGCCTGATTCTGCTGTCTCACACCGTGTGTTTATGGCAGACAATATTGGTTTGTGTCTTGCAGGGAATAAATCACAAAGGGAGGAGCTGGACTCCATCCTCTTTCTTTTTGAAGTAAGTTTTCCATACCATGAAGCAATTTTGTATTTTGTCATTCTGTGTTTACTTAGAGCTTTGCAGTGAGGGGTGAAACCTGGTGTCAGTCACAGGGGAAAGGCAGAACAGAGCTGTGGAGGGTGTTCAGCTCTCAGATACAACAACCATTTTATTATGCAGTGAGAATGTTGGTTGAGGAATATGCAGAGTTGAGATGTTTTATCAAAAAGTAACGGTCTGTCCTGAGGAGCTGGGGCTGAACATGAGCTGGGGTTTTCAGGATCATTTGGGGAGCACGTGAGCAATGGTTCCGTAGCCTCTGTAAGGCTAAAGCTTTCAAAATAGTCTGTTTCTTCTGTTCTTTTTTGTTTTAATTAAAGAAGGTATTGCTCCTGTATTTTGTGGAGGGGCAGTTCAAAACAGCAGGACTGTTTCCCTACACTGTGTCAGTGTGAAGTTCAGCGTTATGTTTATTTGGAATGTGTCACAGCAGGAGTCTGGGCCCAGCTCCTCTCACATGAAGGCATCTGTTATGGTTACAGTGTTTGGTCTTGCAGCACAAGGGAAATAAGAGGATAGGAGTTGTCAGCTACTGCACATCAGGGTAATCGGAGCATGTGAAATACCAATTTGTTAAACTTTTTTAGTTCAGTGGAGCATCTTTCACTTCCAGAAGCAAATCCTTCCCTCCTTCCCAGCACTGGCCATCAGAGCATGGGCAGTGTCTGGGGAGGAAATGTTACCTAGTTAACTTCTGCATAATCAAATTAGGATTGTTTAAATTAAAAGAAGAATAGTCTGGGATAGATAATTTTCTGAGGTACCTCTTAATTTAGAGTTATTAAAAATATATTTTGGATGTGAAGTATCCAGAAAATATCACTGGACCAGATGAAAGCCTAGCATATAAAAACATTCTTATAATGCACACTGGAATTCTTAGCATAAGCTCTGCCTGTCTCTGTACTCAGAAAGCAGTGACACTTTTAAATATTAATTTTTAACAGTTATTTAGGAAAATAATTGGCCAGGTTTCTTTCTTAAGATTTAACACACATCTTCTGTTGATTTCTCTCTATTTTTGTTTTCTTTATTTCTTTCTCTTTGTTACTGCAAATACTAACTTTTTATTTGCATGTTGCATGATAGAAATGCCATCTTTGTTTATATTTTGGGTTATTTTTCTGTAGGGGTGGGAGGAAAAAAGCCCTCAAACTTTCAGTGGGACTCTAGAAAAGGAAGTCAAAACAAAAGTTAATTGTTCTCAACTCTTCTCACTCCCTCTAAAAAAACCCCAACCCAAACCCCTCAGAAGTATGTGGTTTCATGGTTTTGCATTAATGAGTAGTTTGTAGTTGGAGTGGTGTTTATGTTGATAGTAAAAACGGTGCTGTTTAGCCTAATGTGCCTGTAATGGGAAAAATGGCCATGAAAACGCTGACATGCAGTCCTGGGCTTTGTGGTCTCGGATTCTCACCGGGATGCAGCCAGTTCATCTCCCTTTTCTTCTTCTCCCTCCCTTCTCCCCTGGAACCATGAGAGTGAAATCTGAACTGTGCTTTCTGCTTCTTACAGCAGTAGAGTCTGCTTTAGGGTTTTGCCCAGGGCAGTGTCAAAGATGATGAGCTCAAAAATGTGCCAGGGCAGCGTTTGGGGCAGGAGGAGCTCTTGCTGCTCGTCCCTCCCAGCCCAGCAGGGAAGGTGTCACACCGGCACCAAGGGGGCTGTGCCAGTTAATGGCAGCTCATTAGTACCCTTTAATAGGGAGTGACATTGAGAGGGAACAGCTGCATTCCTGGGGCTAAGAACTGCCCCTTCGGACTCCCCTAAAGCATCAGGAGAACATGCTGTCTGAAGGAGGAAGAACCCAAAGCTGTGTCTGAACTGGGGCTGCTTGGGGTCCCAGTGGGGGAGAGCTGTGTTACAGCCGGGTCACGGGCAGCTCTGGGGAGCAGGAAGTGGTTTCAGGTATTCCCGTGGAGTTCAGGGTGATCCACTTCATGGTGGGGATCTGCTGGAGTGACCTTGCAGTCCGTGTAAGCTGAGACTGGGTAAGGTATGCCTTGGAGAAGAGCCCAGTGGAGGCCTTGGAGCACCGACCAGGAACCCATCAGCATGAGCACAGGGCAGGCAACAGGGAATGCCGAGGGATGAAACGTTCACACCGAGCCAGAGGAAACGAAACTAATTGATTGTTAAGCTTTCCATATTTAATCTGATGTCAGTGTGAGCTGGGAGGGGGTGTACTGCATTCTCTTCTAATTAGCTAAATAGGTAATTACTTAGGATTAACAAATCCGGAGTCCAGGCGCTGAGTGTTAACAGCTTAAAAATCAATAAAAATATTTATGAGGGAATTGACTTTGCCTTTTCCCGGCGGTTTGGTGGGCTCGTGCTGCTGTTGTGGAGTGACACCTAGTGTGTGTATTGGGCAACAGAGGCCTTTCCCACAAATCCTCTGGAAACTGCCTTAACTGGGCTGTAATTTGTGGATTTTTTTATTTTACCCATTAGCTACAGAGCTTGGCCACTCAGCAACAACATCAAACAATGTGTTATTTAAAGAAGAAATGTTAATCAGAATGGAGGAGTGTGAAGGTTTAACTGTTCATTTTGGAAAGTGCTTTTTTGCAATTAATATCACAAAATTCTTGGTTCTAACCCTATATTCTCTAAGGTGCTCTGGCCTTGTCTTTTTCCAAATATCTGTGAAATGACACAGCAGCTGTACTGTGTTATTTTTCCCTGTTTCGGCTAGAAGCCCAAAAATATGTGAATAACAAACTTGCTTGTTCTCTGCTGAGGTTTGGCTCTCTCCAGATTTGCAGTGTATTTGCAGAACAGGTTCCTATTGTTCCTTGTGTCCCTGCTCTCAGGTTTGAGGGCAGCTCTGAGCCCGCTGTGTCACAGACCTCACAGAAGGTGCACTACACTTATGTCCATTATCTGGGACCCATTACAGTGTTATGTCATCATCTGGTTGTGAAAGCTTGGATTTTTTTTTTTATAATAATGTATTTTTTTCTTGCAGCATCAGGTACTGATTCCTCTGACACTGCATTTGTTTTATCTCTAATGAAGTAAAAGCAGACTGATGGCTTTGATATCATACATGGCTCAATTTCTTCCCATTCTCTGTAATTTTGCTTTATTAGTGAAGAACAGCCACATCATACCTGTTGTGCTGATGGGGTCATCAAATTCACCCCACGGATTTAACACATTCGCTGGATGAAGTGCTTTATTCTCAGAATTTTTCAGATAATCTTTCTACCGTAGAAAAGCTTCCCAAAGCCACTTCTGGAGGTGCTGCTGTTGCTGAAGGTGTTTCAGGTCCTGTCAACATAGTTCAGGTGTCACTGCAGGTTTGGGGACAGCTGAGGAGATGGGGTGGGTGCTCCCCCCTCCCACCAGGGATGCGTTTGCTGGGAGCTTCTCAGCTTGGATTTTTCTGCTTGTTTGTTTTCTACCAGTGCACAGTAACATAACATAAAGAGCCCTCATGTTTCACACTGCACCGACACACCCTGAGCACAGACACTGCTTTTTTAGTCCAACTAGTAATGCTCATAACTAGAGCTGTTAGAATATATAACTTTGGTTCACTGTGGAGTAAGACTGCTGTGGATATTTTAAATACCGAATTCTCCCAGCACCTTACAGGTGTCCTTTATAGAGGCTGCTCCATGAGTTAGCAGTATTGGTGAAGCAGCTTAAAACAAATCTCCAAACCAGTGGTCATTTTTAGCAGGTCATTTTCAATTTCATGAAAACCTGCACCAGTGAAACTTGGAGTACTTTTGGATTCCTAACTCTTTTAAAAGTTAGGTGCTGCATTGGTGTTTTTTATGAATGTGCAAAAGGACACTCTTTTATATTTGTAGCATTACCTTAGGGTGGTTTGCTTGTCTTAGGATGTTGTTCCTATTTACTTGCTACCTTTTGAACAAAAGTGAGTATAGTTGAATTCTAAGGAATTAAACTGTGTATTGAAACCAATCAATGGTAAAAGAAAGTACTTATAAAATTCTTTACAGGGAATAATGAAGTTGTTGTTGAGTTCCTGTTGCCACAGGTCCTGATTTCTCATTTCTTGGGATTGACCCTTTTATTTAACTTTCTTGTTGCTGTTTGCATTTCCCTTATGTCTGTACAGCTCAGTATCTTAATTTCCCCACCTGCAGGTTATCAGACACTTGAAATCAAGTTACCATTAAGAGTCAGAGCTTAAAATGCAGAGTTACAGCTTTAAATTCAGGTCATAGGTTCCTTTTCAGCCTTGCAGTGGGATTCCCAGTTGCACTGTTCAGCCTCCAGTGTGTCACACAGACTTGGCTGGCTGACTCTCAAGCTCACTAGAGTAAAAAAAGGGCTTTTTTTGTTTATAACAATAAAAGTGCTTAGAGCTCTTCTTTTCTACTCATGGAAAACTACTTTTTTAACCATTTGCAGTTCATTCTGCCATTGTTCTGATTTCATTTGATATTGCTCTTAATAAACATTCTTGTTATTCTTGCAGCATTCTGTGGTAAATTCTAAGTTTCCTACGTTTACTTCAGAGGTCTTACTGTGTCTTGTTATGCCTGGGGCAGTAATAAGTGCCCTGTGTGCTTTGGGCAGACATTTTCCCTCAGCAAATGACTGTGAATAATTTATTAACGCAATAAATGGAGGGTTCCATCATTTCAGCTGAACTGCTGCAGGCACACGGACTCCAGTGGGCTCTTGGCTTATCTGAGCCGGTGAACAGGAGCTGGAAAATGTCTGAATTTTTGCAGGTTTCAGTAGTTAAACACACTGTCCCTGCTGTTGTCACTGTCTCCAGGAGCCTTCAGTCAGCCGGGGCACCTTTGGTGGGGCTTTGTTACTGAGACCCAGGCTGGGAGCAGCTCTGGCAGCAGGACAGCCGTGCCTGTTGTCTCACTCTGTTAGTGCAGCTGGGAAACATCCTGGCTGGGGGATCTCGGGTGCAAGGTTTGGTCCCAGCTGTCCCTGCGCTGGGGCAGCACTCAGTGATAGGCACAGAGCTGCCAGTCGTGGTATCATTCACCAACGGGGGCAGAAATAAAAGGCTTTTAAATAAAAGAAATTGCAGTATTGGTGAAGTTGGAGCAAGTCTGTTGAAATACAGCCTTGGTGGTTTTTATTCTACTGTGATAAAAGAGAGAGATCCAGCTTTCAAAAAGCAGCATCCTGTGTAAACTAAGATTTAAACTTAACATTATTCCTAGTCATGCAGGAAGTCCAAACGAAAAAGAACTATGGATAATCAGTTAAAAGAACTGACAGATACCCTGATGTGTTGATCAGTAGTAATACCTAATTTCTATTTCAAGTGTGCTATAATGGATTACCATATAGATGCAGCAAAGCACTAAGCATTAAATAGATCTATGTGTTTTCTGAAAAAGCAATATTATTTCGCACTGTGGGGTTTCTTAAAACATTTCTTATTAGTGTACTGTGAAACTAGGAACAAGATGTCAATAGCCAGCTCGGATTCACAGCAGTGTGGATGGCAGCCTGGGCTGGAGGGGAAGAAACCATCATTTGTTTTACAGGAATAGCAAGATGTGATTTTTAGAACACCAGGGTGGGGAGGGTGTAGAAAATGTTGTTGGAAATGGGAAGTTGCAGTGGGAACAACTGGAGCTCGTTTGGGATCTGTGCTGTCTCGTGATGCTCTCCAAGCCCATCTCAGTGTGGGGACCCCAGTCTCACAGGCGAAAATCACCAGTTAAATGTTGTGCTGCCTGGGACTGGGGGTTAACTCGTAACCTGCAGTAACTTGTGTTTGAAGGTGTGGATTTTAACCATGGTAACATATTTTGACATTGCAGGAACAAACGTGGACTCTGAGTTTATATTTGATTTATACTGAGTGTGCTGTGCAGCAGAGCTGTGCTGTCTGCAGTAGGGAACTGGGACACCAGCAGTCTGGGGTGCTTTTTCAGAATGACTCTGGTTACTCCTGTGTAGGACCATGCAGGTGATTAATCACATCTTTACATTTTTTCAAAATACATGTATTTATAGTTTTCCTGGTTTTGAGATGCTGATAAGGAGAACTCATGGGAAATAACTTAAATGTCTCAAGTTTTTGCCATATGGAGAGGTTGTGGGATATGGAAGCTTTTATCACATGGGAGCTTCTGTACTATTGTTTTCAACCCTTGAATTGTTTTGATTCAGTCACCTGATAGGGGTGTTGGATTCTGTGTTTTGTAAAGCAAAAAGAACAGTAAGGGTGTTGTTTTCTGCCCCAACCCTCCCAGCGTAGTGCAGTTTAGAGTTTAAGCTTGCTTGTGTTGTCCTCTGCAATAGCCAGTGTTTCAGGCTTTCTCTGGGCACAGCCTTAACTTTCACATCTGAGTGTCAGTGAATTTAAGTTCTTTTTCAAACGGGTCTTTATTATGCAGCTTTTACCTTGTCAGCTCACATCTTGTCATAGCTGACTGTCTGGAAGTGAACTTTGTGTTCAAATTTAGGTGAAACTGTGTAACAGACTTAAACAATGGAAACAAACTGCGTGCGATTATTGTCTGGTTTTCCATGATAAATGTGCCGAGATGTGTGAAGGTTCATCCCTGCAGTGTGTTGTGACACCTGAATCCAGCCCGGTTTTTGCTGCTGGTTTGTCCAAGTGTTTGTTTCCTGGAGCTTTTCCTTGCATGCCTTGGGCACACGGTGTGTGATGGGCCTGGCACAGACACACTCCCACACTGCTCCAGGGGGCACTTGGAGCGCTCCTGGGTTAGGTTAAAGCTCCTCTTGCCCTGTGCCAAGTTAAGTAAAGGTTAATGTCAGAAAGTATCCTGAGGAGTGGTGGGCTCTTAGTGTTGAATGTTTAGATGGATAGTGATAACTCTTTGTCCATGGATCCTGCAATCTGATTGGCAGAAACCTGATAAAAAGCCCCAGTGTGAGTCATGGCCTCATTTTTAGCCAGTCAGATCCTTCATCCCAAGCCTGTTCCTCCTGCCCACGGAGGGGGGGAGCCAGACCTCTGGCCACCAGCCCCCTGCTCCTGCAGTCCCTGCTGCCACGGTGTCCTGGGCAGGGAGCTGGGGCAGTAACACCAAAACAAAATACATTGGGAACATAGAAGGGACATGCCTGGTTTGCATGTTTACTCTGAATAAACTTCGAGAAATGCCCAGTACTCTCTGGGGAGCACGTGCTCTGGTAAGGGTGAGGAGGAGGAGCAGCCCGTCTGACCTGAGCTCTGGCTCCCTAAGCGTGTGAACTTGTCATGACTTCCATCTTCTGCCATGGAGAAAGGAATGGTCCATTTCCAAGAAGATTATTCTGAGTGTTGTATAAAATTTCTGAAGCACTTGGTTGTCAAAAATAAAAAAGCCTGTCCATGTCTCAGGCACACTGCTGTCAGCAGCAGTGCTGACCCGTGCCAACCAGCTCCCAAGGGTTGCCCACAGTGCCAGTTCCTGCTTTCTTGGCTGCGATGTTTCCTCTTGCGAGATTTGTGTGCAAAACACCAAAAAATGGCTCACCATTGCTCAACTGACTTGCCATTCATTTTTGCATCCTGCATGTGGTATTTCTGAAAACTTAACGATGCTTTGTTGTGCAGAAGTTTGTGCCAGTGATTTTTGTTTGATAATGATGAGAACTCTGTCTCAGTCATTTATAACATTGTTTGATTTAATTTGATTTCCAAAAGTAGGTGTTGGAAAGTAGTTTCCCCATTTAAATATATCTTCCTACATTCTATATTTCAATGGGTGAAAACCTGTAAGATGCAGACATGTTTTTCTGTGGAACCTGTGTGGAGCCCTGTCCATGTCACTCCTTTGCCAGGTGGAGCAGCAGTGGGTGAGCTGTCCTGTGTGACTGCCTCACCTGCCTGCCAAGTCCTAGTCCTTACTACCAGTAGTTTAAAAAAGGTGTCTTGGAGCCTGTTAAAGTCCTTTTAAAGCCATATTTACTCAAGTAAGACCCCTAAATAGTTTTGATTTATCCAACTTATTTAACAGCATTACCATCCACTGAACTGACAAAGAAAGCATTTGGAAGCCCCAAGTGTTCTTTGCAACTAAGATGATAAGACTCCGTTCAGGAAAGCACTTAAATTGCTTTGTGGGTGCCCTGTAGCGTAACCAAACTGTGCGGGAATGGGTTTGACCACAGCCTCTCGTTGTGTTTGATCTGCCTTCGGGAGGATCAGTCCTCAGCTCCAGAGACAGGCCACCACGGATTATTCCCTAAGTGCTTTATTAACTGCCTGTGCTGGGAATTCAATTAGTCTGGCTTTGTGTAATTTGGCTCGGTTTCCCTGAGCGGCTGAAAGCACAGGTAAATGAGCTCTGAGGAGCAGTAACTGCCCCGCTGTTCCCGGTGCCTCAGCCGGGGGTCGGAGCCCATTAGCTGATGGAAACACAGCCCGGAGCCGGGGGCTGGAACCAGAGCCGTGACAGGCTCCGCAGTGTCAGCCCAGGAGAGCTGCTCCGGATGTCTGAGCTCTTCACGGGCAGTGCTGGAGGGCTGCAACACAGGGGGAAGGGAAAGTGCTTCATCACTGGGTCGTGGTATTTATTCAGAACCATTCCCAGTGTCTTTCTCCACAAGCAGAGAGCAAAGTCGTGGGCAGGAGTCCTTGTTGTGATAGGCATTTCTTTCTGTTGTGTTCTGTTTATATGTATTACCACTTCGTTTGTGTCGTGTGTCTTTGTTTCTCTGTATCCTCTGATGACCCAGTTTATTATGGAAAATATGACTATTTAGTTTTGTTTCCTGCAGAAAATATTGCAGCTACTTCCTGAGAGGATTTTTTATCGATGGCATTTTCGCAGTATAGGTAAGAAGAAATGGTTTAAAAACATTCTAGTGCAAATAAAATCAGTGTTTTCTCTAGTCACTTCCCTGGTTCCACAAACCCTGAATCCCTCAGCACTGCCCACACAAATAATACACAGGAGACTTGCAGCTCAGCATTCCCAAAGCACATGGAAAAATGTTTTTGCCTGCTGCAACAGATCTGTGTCCCTTGCTTGGGGTGGCTTGGATTGCCTGCTTCACTTTCATTTTGCATGAATGTTATTTCAGTTTTTATCTTCTTGGATTTACCTGGCCCTCTTCCCTTTCTTCTCTTCCATGTGATGGAAGCTATCAGGATGAGGGGAATTTAAACCAACACACCTTTTCCTGCTTAGGTCTCCCTTTGGATTCACAGACCAACTCCAAACACAGGAGTACTGTGGATCTGTATGTGACTTGCAGATTTGCAGTAGGATGTCATTTTAAGTGATTGCACAAGAAATGCCTGTTCCAATCCATCCCACCAGGGATAGATCCTCTCTGCCTCCTGGAAATTCATCCTGTGAAACTTGGGCACTGAATAGGCAGCAGAAAGTTCTGCTTCCAACTGCTGCCAAAGCGGTCCCAACGTTTTGTTTTGCTGCTTATTAAAGTAAATTTTTTGGAGGGGTTCTGTTCCTTCTGAGTAGGACTTTTTTTGTTGTGGTTGTGTTTGGTTTCCAACACTGTCTCACCAGCTGCCTTGTTTGTCATCAGAACAAGGAATTGCTGTTGCAGAAGAACAATGAGTGGAAGTTAAAGGTCAAGGAAAGGGCTGTTGTCACATTTCCACTCAGCAGTGACAAAAATAAGAGGAGACATCTGCCTGACCGCTTCATAACTGGTTCAGCTGAGCTAGTCCAGAACAAATTGGTTTCAGTCAGTTGTTTTCTAGCTGATATATTCTTTATACTTCTCTTGGGTGGCCATGTTGGGATAATTTTTTGACTGAGCAATTTTTTACAGCTCTACCTTGGGATTTCCTTTTTGCTTAATGTTCACATGCATTAATGCGTGTTTTCTATACATGTTAATTTCTATTTAGTATTGTGAAGTGGAGAGATCTGGAGGGAAGGAACCTGTTTAAGGGCTGTACATAATTCACAATCAGTATTTATGAAAATAATTTGAGACATTGTCATCTGACTAAACCCAAAGTACCATACTGGGAAGACACACCATAGTAAATCTTACTCCACTGTTGATGACGGTGATTGTAACCAGATTTACTTTGGATTTTTTCCCCCTCAGTTGTCTTAAAACTCAGTGCAGTGGCCACAGAGTAAATAGCATTAAACTAGCCTTTTCTGGAGTATTTCTTAAAAACCACTGTGGTGGGAGGGCCCGTTCCTTGTGTCTGATAGTGCCTATTTAACTTTCCTAATCCAGGGTCGATTCTGAAGAAACTTTTGCACACTGGAAATTCTCTCAAGGTATTTCTTTGTTTTCATATTCCTTTTCACTTTCATTCTTATGAAGCATATCACTTTGCAGCTTTTCAATATCAGTGGTTTTCAGACTGTTAGGCTTTGTAATTTTACTTACCTTTTAATCGTAAATCTTATTATTGTGATCCCAGATTATTTTCACATTTGTCTTCTGTTATTTTGCTGCTTTAATGACCTTCGTAAAGTTATCCAGAGAAGATATAAATAGATACTGCTTAATGCTTCATTTTTTCAGCTCTCTTTAGCATTAAGTATACTGTATTAAACCTAGGATTAAAATAATAATGTGAACACCCTGCTATGGTGGAAAGACTTCCTAGCACCTGGCTGGGGTGAAAGCTCTCATTCTGCATGTTCTGAACCGTTTGACCACGTTACTGCACTTAGTTTACTGTCTTTTCCCACAAATCCATCCCCTCTCAGATAAGATGTGAAGGAATCCGGCTGTTCCTGCTCTGGCTCCAAGCCCTGCAGACCAACTGTGGGGAGGAGCAGATCCTGCTGTTCGCCTGCCTCGTGCCCGGCTTCCCCCCGCTGGTGTCCTCGCGGGGCCCCTGCACCCTGGAGAGCCTCATCAGCCCTCCCTGCCCGCCCGACGGTGAGTGGGGAGCACTGCTCCCACCAGGGCACTGGGAACGTGGCATTCCAGGGGGATGCCATTTGTCAGGCTGCTCTGCTTGGTGCAGCTGTAGAGCCACCTGACTGTCAGCCAGAGCGGTCGGGGTTTGTTGTTTGCCTGTTGGTTTGGGGATTTTTTAATTGAGAGGCAGCAGTAGGAACATGTCACTGCACAGTAAGCAGGTGCACAGGTTTCCAGCTCGTTGGTTCACCTGCAGTGGCTGCTGCTGTCAGTCCTTTGAAACCACGGGGGATCAGATGCCGGTGCCACCTTCCATGGGATGTGGCAGGACTTGGGGAAATGCCCAGTAGCTACTGGACTTGGGTTTTGTACAGCTTAGTAGTGCAATAGCGGGTATTTTAAATTTATCTTTTCGTAGAAAATTCTTTTATTTCAGTATTTTCATGTTTATGTTTAAAACCTTTTGTTTTAGCTAAGATTTTTCCAGAGGAAATAACCCCGCTTTTGCCAGCTGTCTCTGGAGAGAAAATTGCTGAAGACCAAACCTGCTATTTTCTTCAGCTCCTGTTAAAATATATGGTAATCCAGGTGAGGAAGATGTGTGTTTGTAACCAGTCATATCTGGGGGAAGTACTGGTCACAGAGTATGAATTCTACACTGTACCTGTACAGAGCTGGCTTTGCCCCTCCCCTGGAAGAAGCTGGCTCCTGCACTTTTTTAGTCTTGTTTTTGAAAGGAAAATCATCCCAAAGGTACTTCCTTGTGCATCTTTGGTTAAAATAAGAAGTTTGTCACATTTGTGATAAGAATGAATGAATGTTATCCAAACTTGCAGGAAACTGACTATTTTATGTGCTTGTGGTTTCATTTAGAAAATTGATATGGGGTAAAGATGAGATTTGTTCTCTTTGGACACATACCTAGATGAAAAGAAATGTAAAGGACCACTGGAGGAAGAGATTAAAAGAGATGGCTTCTAAAATTTCTCTTTTTAAAGGATGCAACTATTGTGTACATAAATTTAATTAGAAGGAGATCAGATGAATCTGTACAGGAAAGAAATTAAGATAATGTATACATTTAAAAAGTACAAATAAAGCAATATTTGAAATAAAGCAGAAACTATATAGACAATGAACATTAAAGAGCTCAGTTTAAAAAAATAGATTATAATTAAATACTTTGACATACACTTTTTAATATCAAAAGGCAAGACCAAAGCGATATTTGGAAGGGACTTTATCATCTTGAATACATGCTTTATTTTGAAAAGTGACTGTAAGAAATTATCAGCTTCCTCCACAGCACCCTTTGTTTTACATATCAGAATCTCACAACTCCAGTTAAAAATAAAATTTCAGTCTTCCTTTTTTACATTTTTTCCATGTTTGGGATCTAAACAAACCTGACTACACTGTAAATCCAGTTGCACAGTGGCTCACCCACGTTTATTTGTGTTGCTCGTTAGTGGGGAGCAGAGCTGGGCACTACCCTTGCTGCAGGTGAGCTGAGATTCAAGTCATCTGATAGAAGTGCAGTGATCCCTTGGAGCCAGAAGCAGATCACATCTGCATCCTTAAGAAAGTTTATGCCTGAGGAGAATGTAATGTGTCCTTTTATTTACATCACACTCGTGATGTTTATTTACATCGCAAGTAACACGACACAAAACCTCAGCAGTCTTGTATTTTAGGAAAGCAGGGCAGTGCAAGTTTCCCACAGAATCCCAGCATGGGTCAGGCTGGAAGGGACCACAGTGGCTCCTCTGGCCCCACCTCCCTGCTCCAGCAGGGTCATCCCAGAGCACATGGCACAGGAGTGTGTGCAGACAGGTCTGGAATATCCAGTGAGGAGACTCCACACCCTCTCTGGGCAATCTGTCCAGTGCTAGGTCACTGCACAGGAAAGTTCTTCCTCAGGTCCAGGTGGAACTTGCTGGGCATCAGTTCCTGCCTGTTCCCCTTGTCGTTGCTGTCCCGAGCAGAGCCTGATCTGGCCTCTGACACATAAACTGTGTCAGTCACGTGCAGCTCATCTCAAACTGAAGGTGTTTTAAAATGAAAAGAGTAACTCACTGTCAAAATTTGTCATTCTATATAAATATATAAATATAATATATATTTATATTATATATAAATAAAATATATAAATATTTCTGATAGAAGAGTAGCCCAGAGTAACTTTTTCAAAATTTACATGTGAGAAGCAAATTTGGTGAAAGCATGGTCTGACAGCACAAACACACTGGCTTCTGCTGAACTCACTGTCTTGGGGATGCCAAAGCCCTCTCGGGTTATTCTTACTTTATATCCTTGGTGCAGCTTGTGAAGGGTGTTTCAGGACTGTGCTGGTTTTTTAGCTCTTGTTAAAGTGTAGTTGCATGTTTTTTGTGTTCGATGCAGGATGATTGTCAGTGTAACACATTAACCTAAGGCTTTTTGTTTGTTTCTCTCTAACTCCATGACACAGGCTGCAAGCTTGGAGTGGAAAAACAAGGAGAACCAAGACACTGGGTTTAAGTTTCTCTTTACCTTGTTTAGAAAATACTATCTTCCTCACTTGTTTCCATCTTTTACAAAGCTAACCAACCTCTACAAACCTGTGCTTGGTAAGTTGTGGGTTTTGTCTTCAAAGTTGGAAAAAGCAGGTGACTGTTCTTGGCAGCATCTCTGTTACCTGTGGGCTTGTCAGCACAGCTCTGTTGGATGAGGATTCTTTCTCCTGATTTCGTGTTTTCTTTGAGCACAACTTTTGACTTGCTGTGATAGTGGAGGAAGGTGCTGCTGCTCCTGGCTGTGTAAGGCCTGGCCAATTCCACTGGCATGACATTTATATGGAGTGAGCATGGCTCTGTGATATTAGTGAATGGAGACAGAATGTGCTCTCCAGTGGGTTTTTAGAGAACCAGTGAGCTGTCCAGGTGTGGGGGAGTAGCTGACTTAGTTACCCTTATTTTGTTACCATTTTAATTGGAGAGAAAATGAGCATAAAGGGCCAGTTGAAAGAAAATTGAGAAGTACCTCTGCAGCTGTAGGATTAAAAGCATGTTATTTCAGAAACAAGGTTTTCCTAATTTTCTACTAAATTATGTAGTACAGTCAATAGGAGCAGTGGTGCTAGTCCTCACCTGATGTAGTGCAGCCTGTTTTTCATCATCCTTCTCCTCCCTTTGACTTTTACCTTCTGTTTTTATAGTTTAATATTTAGTCTCTAAAATCACCTCAGTGCCACTTCGGCTTTGTTGTTTACACCTAGAGCCCGGGCCTTTCATGTTTTCCAGCTGTGTACAAGTGATTTTTCCTTAAATCTGAGCACCTGAAGGAATTGTGACCCAACCTGTCTCCCTTCAGCAATCTTCCACTTCTTCCCATGTGTTTTCTGTCTTTTATTTCAGTGTGTGAACTTCTCTTTCTGAGGCACTAAGAGTCCTTTTCTTCATCTTTGCACTATTGAGTGTTCCACAGCCATCTTCTCTTTCTGTCTGCACTTTATTAAAGACACTCTGTGAAAGTGATAAAATGAACTTACACTGTAGCAGGAGGAGTTATCTAGTTCAGATTTTGCCTTTCTTTTTGCAACCCTTTTCTTTCCCTTTCCTTTGTTTTGTGTGATACAAGTGATAACCTCCGGGGAAGATCTGTGCTGTTATGTTCTCTGTGTTCTTTAGGAGTGAAAAGTTATGATAGAATATAAGCATTAATACAATAAAAGCAGTCAGTCATTGCATCTCTTATTTCACAGGGAGAAAATGCTGGTGATGTGTTCAGTATGTTTAACCAGAGTTTGGAAGCTGTTACAGTTTTTAAGATTACATTTTCTTTCTATGTTTCCTTTTTCTCTTACCAGATATTCCTGATATCAGGCCAAGGCCAGTGTATGTCACTGCAACACGAAACAATGAAAGTGTCTATAGCACAAAAATCCCCTATATGGCAGCTCGAGTTGTTTTTATTAAGTGGCTTGTTACCTTCTTCCTTGAAAAGAAATACTTAACTGCTGTTCAGAACACAAAAAATGGAGGAGAAGTGCTCCCTAAAATTATTCAGGTGAGCTTTAGAGTTTGCCTCTCTTTTCTTATGTACATGCTAACCTTGCCAGGATGATCTCATTGCACTGACAGCTGAAGCACAAAGAAATGCTGCCCCATAGTGAATAAATGATGTAGGTACTTATTTGATTTTCTTTTCCTTTGATGGAGGAGGGAATCTCCAAGCAAAGCCCTTCAGTAATTCACTAGGAGTTTATTTTCCTCATAGCTTGTTGTATTACCAGCTTCAGCAGTATTATATTTAGACATCTGGAATTTACTCTGTGAACTGTCATACTTAGTTGTGCCATGGACCATCTCCCAGTGACTTCAAAACCTGCTTTGTTTTCATCTTGGTTATAGCAGCTGTTAACAAAGAGATATTAGAGAAGTATTTCACTTTCAAACTGCTGGTTCAGACTTCTCTAGGATTAGGGACTTCCCACTGAATTTTAGAGAAACAGATGCTTTTTCTCTCAAGAGACTCTCCAGTGTCCTGTCTGTGCCTTCCTCCACTCCCACCACTGCACCCCTGCTCTTTGAAGTGGACAAGTCAGTGAGCTGCTCTGGCCCATAGGAAGTGTGCAGCTTGTGCAGGACAAGAGCAGATTCCTCCTTGGATCCAGCAGTAACTGCAAACAGCTCTGCCTGACTGCTGGATCCCAGCAGTTGTGCCAGGCAGCACACCGGTATCCCGAGCTCTGCCTGAGCATCCCAGAGCTTTGGTGGGTGCTGTTCCAGCCGTTCCATCGGGTGTGTTTGCTCCGTGCAGACGGTGGGGGTGAGCCAGGACAAGGCGGCGGAGCTGGAGGGCGGCGCGGCGCAGGAGCAGGACGGGAGCCACTCCAACAGCAGCACCCTGTCCGACAGGAGGCTCAGCAACTCCAGCCTGTGCAGCGTGGACGAGCAGCACCGCGGCGTCTACGACATGGTGCAGAGGATCCTGCTCTCCACCCGCGGCTACGTCAACTTCGTCAACGAGGTCTTCCGCCAGGTCACTGCCCGGGCTGCTCGGGGTTTCATTTGGAACAGAAGGGTCGTTGGGAGGAGAGCAGAGAGCCTGGTGTCTGGTAACTGGGCAAACGTGATGCTGATCACACCAGACCCTTTTATGTTGTTGTGCTGTGGGATGCAAAGGCTCCCCGGCCTGAGCAATACCTTTGGAATGGGTTTGCAGCTAAACTGGGAGTAGGAAGTGCTGTAGGGTTTGATCCTGTTGATCAGGGAGAGTGGTAATCTACTCATAATTCAAAGGGACTGTTTTTTAGTATGAAAAGTGTATTTACATCTATTTCAGTATTTATATCATGCACATCAATATCATTTTTTTACTTGGCAAAATATGCTTTTTTTGGTACCAGATGACATTTTCAGACATTGATTTCCCTGCAGTGCAAAGGTCTTGTGTCACTATTATATTTTTCTTTGGTCTCCTAAGACCTGCAGAGGTATGGGGTAGCAGCCAGCCTGGCCTGTGTAAGCCTTCAGAGAGAACATCTTCCCAGAATGATTCCCAGATACACATCTTGAGTAGCGTGTTGAAAATAAACTCCTTGTCTTGATTTCCAAAATTGCAGTGAGCAAAGATGAGCAGTTTGGGGGGGGGGGGGGTTTAGTGTGCATCACATCCATGTCCTACATAGAGTAAAACCAGTGAACTTTTCATTTTAGGCTTTTTTGTTGCCACCTTCTGATGTATCCGCAACACGGAAAGTGGTGAAGGTGTATCAGAAGTGGATACTGCAAGAGAAGCCCGTGTTCATGGAGGAGCCAGACAAAAAGGAGGACAACCAGGATGCTGTTGTCCACCTGGAAGACTCCTCAGTGCAAACAGACGGTAAACATGTATGGTATCCCTGTTCCTTACTTTGTTCTGTCCACCCGCAATGCAGGGCTTAAGTTTTCACCTCGCTTTGTAAAGGAGTAACAGTTAAAAATGTGTGGGGAATAAAGGTTAAAAAATGCTTTTATTTAAGGACTGAAAATTTAAGTAGTTGCTGAGTGTTCAGTAGCACTTAGGGAGTGCAGGGCAGGATTGCAGCTGGTTTGGGAAACACCATTTGTGGTTATTCCCTGTGTGTACAAACATGACAGGGAGACACAAACCGTGCCAGGTTCTGCAGTGCTGAAATGACCTGTCTGCTGCCTGGGCAGGGAGGACTATTGCCTTTTCGTGGTAGTTACTTGACACTTTGACAGTGGGTACCAACTTATATTTACTGGATGAAATATGTGCGGTTAAACGCCTTAGTCTAGGAAATTAAAGTGTAGCTGCTATTTCTGTGCATCATCTTTTTAATACACTGTTTTGAAGCGTCAGTAAAAGTTCTTTGACGCTGTTGATGCTGTTTAAAGGGATGTTTTGTTATACTGAGGAGGAGGTTTGAGTTGTAAATCCTAGTGAGGATTACAAGGTTTCAGCAGCTTATTTTTGTAGAGGATTTAGAGTTTTGCCAGACTTAAATTTAAGTGTTACTACAATCAGTGACTACAAAACATGATGTAAAATATTGTAAATAACATGCCTTCTGAAACTTTTATGAGCCTTTAAATTCCATATACAGCCTGTTTGTTCAGAAATTAAAAAATAATAGATAGTAATTCCTTGAGGAAATTTATGTAGGTCATGACAGTTCCCCCTTTTTTGCTGTTGACCTTTTAAATGGTTTTGATCCATGTGGACACGTTCCTTTCTTCTCTGTCACTGAATGGGCTGTGTTTGTGGCAGCTTTCCTCGGAGCACTCCGGGCACAAGCGCTCCTCCAGCTGGGGCAGGACGTACTCCTTCACCAGTGCTGTGAGCAGGGGATGTGTGCTGGAAGATGAGGACAGAGATGTGAAAGCTGGAGCCCAGGCTGCGTTACAGGTGTGCTGTGTGGGAAGGGGGCACAGCTGTAACTTCCCTGATCGTGTAACTCACACTGCAAATCACCTTGGAGTCTCTGAGACAAAGGAAAAGAGGTGTCCAAGCATATAATGGCAGGAAATGAGTGGCTGGAGGAATGTCCTCTTGCCTGCCCAAACAGAAGAGACATCCACAAGCCCCATACTGAGCCCTGTCTGCCTTGGGGGGTCTGTGATGTCACGTGGCTGCTCGCTGGAATGATGTAGAAAAACAAAGTGATGGGTAAAACATGGAGCTTCCCTAAGGAAAGGGAAAGGTTTAACTAGAGGAGGACAAGTATTTTATTGTAAGTCTTGACTGTTTTCCTTGCTGACACTGTGTAAATGGAGTGTTGATGCCTGTGTTGAAGGTGTTCCTGACAAACTCGGCGAATGTTTTCCTGTTGGAGCCGTGCACTGAGGTCCCGGTGCTGCTGAAGGAGCAAGTGGATGCTTGCAAAGCTGTTCTCAGTATCTTCAGGCGCATGATAATGGAGCTGTCAATGAATAAGAAGACATGGTAAACTTTACGTGGCATCATTTAAGAGAAAGTTATCAACATTTAAACTTTCTGGGAGAGTTTTTGGTAGGGAACAGACTGGCTTTCTCAGGGGCAGACCTTGCTACCTAAGTTACGTTTGAGACTTGCCTCTGAGTTGATTTGAGAGATTGCAGAACCTGCTAAGCCTTCGTCCTTGTACTGCTTCACTTCAAGGTTCTGGCTGGTATTTCCATTCCTAACTTCACCTCAAAAATGAGCTTTTTACAGTCCACAGCCAATGGCTAGGGTTATTTTGCAGATGATCTGTGAAGTCCAAAGTGTGACCGTATTCTCAATAAATGAGGCTTGCTGGAGAATTAATGAACAAGTACAATTAGTAGAACGTGTGAACAAATGTGCAATTTTGTTTTGGAACCAGGGAACAGATGCTACAGATACTCCTCAGAATAACAGAAGCTGTGATGCAGAAGCCGAAAGAAAACCAGCCAAAGGACACATTTGCCCAGAGCATGGCTGGGTTGCTGTTCCGAGTGAGTGAGTGGGGCTGTGCTTGGTTTGTGTTTGCTCATCAGGATTGCCCGTGGTTTTAGCTAAGTGCTATTGCACAGTGCTATGAAACCTGCTCCTATTACTGGGAAGGAGGATTTTTTTCCTGTTTTACAAGTAATTCTTTTGTAAACTGTGTGCTGAGTTCATTTGTCGGACCTGCCTGAAGGGCCACTTGTGTGTTTTCCCTCAGACCCTCATTGTGGCTTGGATCAGAGCGAACCTGAGCGTTTACATCTCTCGGGAGCTGTGGGATGAGCTGCTCAGTGTTCTGTCCTCCCTGACGGACTGGGAGGAGCTCATCAACGAGTGGGCCAACATCATGGACTCCCTGACAGCAGTGCTGGCCAGGACCGTGTACGGCGTGGAGATGACCAACCTACCCTTGGACAAGCTCAGTGAACAGAAGGAAAAGAAGCAGAGGGGGAAAGGTCAGTCTGTGTGCTCGGCGCTTTTTGTATCAAACAACTTAAATATTTAAGTTTAATTTTTAAAATTAATTTAACATTAAGTGCTACCTAATCTAGTGTAAGAACCTGTTTAATCAAGTGTGAAGCTCTTTGGATTTCTGTATTGTCATCCTTCATTGAGGAGGAGAGGTAGTTGGGGTCAAGAGTAGATAGGTAGCTTTTTGGCAGGTTTGGGCATGTGCTTACAGTCAGTGCTTTCTATGTAGCAGAAATGAAAGGTGGTTTCCTGTGCTACAGAATGTCACAGGCATCTCTTTAAAAATTCCTTTCTGTGTGTTATTAATAAACTTTATTATTTACAGTTTTTTAACTGCACTTACACGCCACCTTGAAATTGAGGCACAGAGTTGAAGTACCCATTGGTTTTAATTAATAGTAAAAATTCATCTGTGTTGTTTAAAGTATTAATATTTGTCATGCCTGAGTCCATTCATCCATCAGCAAAAATATGTGCCAAAGCATCCGGTGCCAGAGAATGTTGTGTTCTTTGTCCTAAGGTGGCATTTTAGAGCCTCAGAAGACAGCAGTAGTGGGAAGATCTTTTTCATTAAGCTGGAAGAGTCATCCTGAAGTCGTGGAGCCGATGAGATTCAGAAGTGCTACAACCTCTGGGGCCCCTGGAGTTGAGAAAGCCCGAAATATTGTTCGTCAGAGAGCGACAGGTTAGACCATAACTAAGTGTTTTTGTACCCCTACACTCAGGAACACAAGTTTTATAGCTGCCTTTGAGGTGTGGCTGCTGCCAAAAGCAGCTTAATAATTACCTGCACAAACAGGTGTTGTGTGCCTGCATCTGGATGTCTTGGCCAGTGGGAGACATGGAGTCAAAGTATTTTGGGAATTCGAAATGTAAACTTTTAGCTACAAGACACTGAATTGCAAGTTAGACCTGTGCATGTCAGGGGTTTCTGTAAAGAATTACATTGCTATTTTTATCAATTCATAAGAAATTTTATCAGTCACATAACAGATAACACATAGTAATGCAGATATTTAATAAACAGTTTTATCCTTTCATAGTTGCTTTATTTTCTCTCTTTTTCTTACCATGATGAGGTTTTTCTCTCAAAAGGAAAAAGGAAAGCAGGAGAAGGGAGACTGGGGTAAGGCATACTGGGGGAGTGTTGGAGACCCCAGACATGGACCAGGTCCCTGTTTGTTCAAGCACTTCAGCAGCCTGAACCTGGCCTCTCTTTGTTTCATGGTAGCATCCTCCTGTGTGCCGGTTCACTGGACTGTGGATCCCAGCTCTCCACAGAAATGCTCAGGAGCTGGAGCTGTCTGGCTGCACAGCTCCCTCCCTGGTTCCCAGCTGGTTGTGGTCCTCAGCAGGAGAACTGGAAGGACGTTCAGTGTGGTTTGTGGCTCCAGGCTCCGTAACTGAGCCAGAGCCTTCAGCTGGGATCACAGGACACTTCAGCAACAGAGTCAGTTCCTTCTCTCAGTCTTTTTTATTTTCAAACTCAGCAGGTCCCAGTGTGTGCTCCAGGGGAGGATTCTCTGCTCTGCTGCTGCATTTCTCCCCTTGATGTCCCACCAGAGCAGTAGGGAAGTGTTGATCCAGGACTTTTCTTAGTTGTGTGTGTTCAAATTAAAGGCACCTCCACACTTGCTGTGATTCAGAAATCCCTGGTTATTGCCATTTCAGTGTGAGAGATGCAGTCGCACTTTATTAACTTACATCTTGTGGGGAAAACTGCTGGGTTGGGTTTTTTTATCCCAAAGCGTTGTGTTTGACATTTAGAACCCAAATATTTAATTCCTTTGTCTGACATAATTATTGCTTTATTTTTTTCCTGGAAGCTAAGCGAAGCCAGTCTATCAGCAACTGTGTCCATCTTTATGAGGCTTTGCCAGCTACTAAAAGTGTACCTCTTCTGCTTCACACTGTGAGCTCTCTCTTCCCTGGTCTCTCTTACACTTCTTGCTCTCACAGACTGTCAGGTACTGTACTTTAAAGTCATCTTTTATATCAATGTTCTTTATATTTTTAAACTGCTGTCTGTCTGTTCCCTTTCTGTCCAGTTGATTCTTCTCAGTTTGTAGCACTGCAGGCAATACAGTTTTTGTTCATCTTAATATTAAAGATTACCATCAATTGCAATTAGATTTATATTCTCTAGTAACTAAAGTAAAATTTCCCAAATTTCTCTTCCTGAGAGGGAGGGGTTTCTGACTCCTGAGTCCTACCCAGGGCATTAGCTGCAGTAGCAAGAGAAGGACAGTTTTGTGTGTGGTGCTTTATGGCTCAGTAGAGATTCCTGCTCTGTGAAATATGTTTGGTGTGTTTTCATCTCCAGTTGTCTGGGAGGGGAACACTGAAATTGTTCCAGTTAGTGAATTACGTTGATTGCTTTATTTGTTTCTGTAAGTAATTTCAAGTCAACAGTGATACTCTAAGGTCAGTAAATACCAGAAGCATTAGCTTTTGTGCCCCTGCCTCTGTGAGATAACTTTCTGAAACACTTGCAATGTTTTTTAAGTAGTAAAGCAGTATTTAAACTTGCACACTACTGGATGGGAACACACTTGATGCCGAGTGTTACTGGTTTTTTTGTTTGGTTTTGGGTTTTTTTTCCCCCCTAATGCCAGCAGAAATGTGTTTCTAAAAGCACTGTGTTGCTCCCTAATCCCAAGAGTTCCTGTTGCTCCTTCCCCAGCATGTCAGATTACTTTCTCATTGAAACTTTCATGCCTCTCTTGTGCATCTGTCTCTAAACTTTCAAACTTCCCTAAGGATATTTTAAAAAACTTAAATTATAACTTGTAAAACTTAGGAATTTTAAATATTTGCAAGGGTGACTATTTCATAGAGCTTTCTTAGACGGGGAGTTCACACGTGTAGACATGTGTATAATCCTGAGCTCCTGCGAATATTTTGTGTTTTAATTAAATCAACAGAAGTTGAAGAATCTCAACAGCTGGAAAATTCAGAAGGAACAGAAGCTGTGGTCCCGTTTGCAGACCAAGAGCAGCAACTGACTCGAAGTAGCAGCACTTCAGATATTGCAGATCAGATTCCATCTGATTTTTTTCAAGGTAATTTTGGTAAAATGCAGCAATAGTGCACTTCTGAAGAGAAAGCATTGAGACTTGTTCAGTCTCATAAATGCTGCTCTTATTTATTTTGGTTTCCAGCTCTCCTCTAAAATGGTTTTCATCTTATTTTCTTAGTAAATACGTAGTTGGTATCTTGTTGAAAGAACTGTTTGTAAGAAGTTCAAGATGAGGGCTGCAGGACATGACCTTTTATAAAGCAGGGAGGATAAAAATGAGACCTGAATGTATGCATTTTTGTATATAACTCTTCAACTTTTTTTCACTTGACTTGCATTGAAATTTAGTGTATTTAAGCTGCAAGTCGAGTTCTGTTCCTCTTGTGTAAGTCTGTTATGCTTCTAAAGAATTTTTCGAAACATCTTGTATCCCATATGAATGTTGTATTGCCTCCCTTAGCTATAAATATGAGACATGCCACTGAAATCTTCATATGACTTGCTGTGTAGTTTGGTACCACAGATGTCAATAATTCTTGTTTCCTTTCTACAATTTCTAGGTAAAAAGGCTGGAAGTTCTCATAATTCAACTTCAGACTCCAAGTCAGTTCAGGAAAACAAGGGACATGCAAAGAAGGAGGATGAAGCTGAGCAAGTAAGGCAAAACAGAAAGTGATTATTGTTTTTCCAGATCAGATACCTTTTAGCATTTAGAAACTCTCGGAAGTAAAAGTGCGAGAAATCATTAATCACATTTCTGGCATGGAATCTGGAACTGAGCTGTAACTGCTAATTACACTGCTTGGTGTGGGCACTTTGTGTCTCCTGATCTCGTCAGCTGCTTCTGCAGGTTTATGTAGTTCTAGTTTTCTGCAAGACTTTTGTGCTCTTTTAAAATATTAAACGTCAACAAGAAGTTCATAACTTTTAAGATATAAATAATTCATGGCTATTATAGAGCTACAGTACACTGGAATAAATGTTTGATGGTTTAAAGTACTGGGGAAAATGCTTCTCTTCAGCGCAGGTTTATCACCAGCCGTGCATGGCAGATGTTTGTGTGAATTGACATTAGGACAGGCAAACTTCATACATTTTTAATGGCAACTCTTGAATGAGCAACCAAAACAATAAATGACTCAGGCTGTTCCTCTTTGAAATATGAAAGCTGAAAGATTTTTTGATGCTTTATAAAGTTTTGAATTATTTCAGGTGTGTTGAAAAACATAAGTAAAAGGTCCTGGTTGTTGGTGTGTAAACTGAGGTTAAGAAAGGGAGGATGAAGACTGACATGGAAAGTGTGTTTTCCCAGAAACACTTACAGGCAGTCGAGTAGTCTGAATATCCATGAGAATATCTTGGCTGAGCTGTAATTAATTTCCAATAACTCTCTGTGTGTCAGATTTGCTAAAATGTGATGTAGTTCTCAAAAGTGTAACAAGCTGAAGATGACTGTTTTTCTCGGCAGGTGCTAATAGGAAGGAGCAGTAGTACAGCTGAATTAGATCTGAAAGCAGACTTTCAGCCACCCCAGGGGAATTACAGAGACAGAGAAAAAAGTGAGTTCCGAGAAACACAGTATTTTTGTAAAGTGTAGCAGTTGAACTCAACATGCCAACTGTGGTTGTGGCAGAGGCAGCAGCCACTATTCCTGTGGTGCTGCTGTGGCCCCTGGCCCACCCCGTGCCCTGTGCCGTGCAGGTGAGAGCGTGAGCAGCGACGCGTCCCTGGGCTGCGGGGCCGACGTGGACATCGCGCTGCTGCCCTGGCAGGGGGCCGAGGATGACCCCGACCCCGCAGCGACTGCAGAGCTGTGTGTGGATCCCACTGCCCCACGCTGGCTGCAGCTCAGCCCCTCGGAGCCTGCCAACCTCACCAACCTCACAGGTACTGCACCCACAGAGCTCGGTGCCAGCCTGGCTCTGCGTCGGGAGGGGTTTATACGGCCCAGTTGGGTTATAATTATTGAGTTATATATATTGAGAAATAGAAATAAAAGCCGAGTTTTGATTGAATACATCTCTCAGGGCTCATGAATGTTCCAGGGAACTGCATTTTGCCTCCCTGCTTGAAAATCCCCTGGAATGTGGACGGTCTGATGTGGAACTGCCCTGCTCTGTGGCACTGTGATATGAAACCCCTCTGGCTCCATTTTCTGCCATGTTTTTCTTTGAATCAGGTGCAGCTCGAGCAATGAAAAAGAGATTTGAGGGAGAGAATTTTTTTGAGATGGAAGATGGTTAGAAGGACTGAAGTTCCTGTTTTATTGACCGATTTATGCTTACACTGCATTTCTAATTTGTGGAAATGGAACATTTTACATTTACAGACAGTAGTGAATTCCTTGCTGATGACTGCAGTATAATTGCTGGTGGAAGCCTTATTGGTTGGCATCCTGATTCTGCTGCTGTGTTATGGAGGAGGATCTTGGGAATTCTTGGAGATGTGAACAAGATACAGTCACCTAAAATCCATGCAAAAGTTTTTGGATACCTTTATGAGCTGTGGTATAAACTTGCAAAGGTATGTGATGCTTACAGGTAATGCTAGTGACTTCTCTTATATTGTAAAAATTATTAATAAATATTATTAAATATGATTCAGTGTTAGCATCTGGAGCATAAGCGTGGCATGAGAGGTTCTGTCATAAAGGAAACTGCTCTTGTTTGGTTTCTAGTCCCTATACCTAATAGAGCATGATCCTGTCCAGCGACAAGAGAATTTAAATGGTTCACTTAAATGGGGTGAGGAAAGAGTAGCAAAGAAAATAGAAGTATAGAACAGAATACCACAGGGGTTGGTATTTGTGTAAAGGCCCACAGTGTGACCCAAACTGGTCACATTTCCTTTGGCTGGGGAGCAGCACCATAAAAAAGGTTTCCAACTTTGGCTGAAGTAGGAACTCTGTATAATGCAGGGCATAGTGCCTGAACATAAATATAATAAGATTTAAATGTAATAGTACGATATAGAGAACATTAAAAAATAAGCTGTCAGTTCTCTTAACACTCTTCCTTTAAAACCCTCAGATAAGGGACAACCTCGCTATCAGTGTGGATAATCAGTCAACTCCCTCTCCTCCCATCCTAATCCCTCCTCTCAGGATATTTGCATCGTGGCTGTTCAAGGTAAGTTAGTTCTAAAATTCTCACACGTTTTCTGGTGCGTGTTAGTTGCGTTATTTTTGATGTTTACAATCAGTGCTGGCTAAGACAACAAACGTCCCCCAGAGGCTCTTTGGACCTGAATGTCTGTTCATAAACACAGGGAGCAGATTTGCTTTCTGGAAGAGCCGCTGGAGGGGCAGCTCTGTGTTAGCTGCTCCCGAGGGGACAGGGGGTGACCCCAGGTGTGTGTGTCTGCAGGCAGCCACGCTGCCCAGCGAGTACAAGGAGGGCAAGCTGCAGGCGTTCCGGCTGCTCTGTGCCATGATGACCCGGCGCCAGGACGTGCTGCCCAACTCCGACTTCCTCGTCCACTTCTACTTCGTGATGCGCCTCGGCTTGACCAGTGAGGACCAGGTAAAAAACTTAAAGTGTTATTGCTCTCAGCATGCCCTGTGCCGCTGCTTGCAAGGACATCCTCAGAACAAAAACAGAACCAGGATTAATGCTGTCCCCTCCAGACTTTGCCTCTTCAAGATGAGTCCTTCGGGGAGTATTTAGAAGGGTCATCCCAGCTCTCCCGAGCTGGTGCCAAGGGGGCTGAAGGGAGAACTGAGACAGAAGGTTATTGTACCACTGTAACCAAGAGGTGCTCCCGAAACATTCTAATTCTGTGGATAAATGTTGTTTCAGGTCCCTGTGTCCTGGGTTGGCCTAAATTAGTTAAAGTATTCAGTATGAGGTGAGGAAAATACTTAATCCATTGAGCTGTCAGATGACTATTGGGCTACAGAAACAGCTCAATGCTCATAAAAACTGCAAGAAATACTCTTTAGATAAAATGGAAAGTATCTACAAACATTTCCATGTCTTTATTGCTGTAGGAGTGAGAGCAAGGGCTGAAGCTGTGCTGGAAGTGGCAGCAGAGGGCACAGGGACTCCTTGGGAAAGCCTGGGAATTATTGCTGGTGCCTTTAGGAAACCAAACAGGTTTGGTTATTTCTGAAAGAGAGAAAGAATGAATTGTTACCAGACTCTTACCCCTCAGTTGCCCTCCTAAAGTGTTAGAGTGTTTGGAAAATCTTCCTTTTAAATAGATAAGAATTGAAAGGAAAGGTTTTTCTTCTGGAAAATCCCAGGAGTCCCAGCTGCTGCTGCAACTTAGGAAAAAACCACCAGTGTCTGCCATTTCTTAAGCACAAACAGGGAAAAATGGAAGTGTAGGGGGAACTCCTGTTTTTGGCACTCTGTGTGTCACCTGAGAGGGACCAACAGCTCATTCCACTTCCATCTCACTCCGGTCAGATCCAGCAGAGTCCCCTCAGTCCCTACAAGACACTGGTACCACCCGCTGGGGTCAGACCCCTGACCTGAAACTCCCCAGCAATAAATGCTCTCCCAGCAGCCCCAGCACACTGTGCAGAGGCACAGCCCAAGCCAGAGAAGGGACAGCAGCAGAGGCAGCCCCGACTCTGCTCATCGCTCCAGGGTGTCCCAGGCACTGGGCAGCTCCCACACCGCATGTCCAGGCTTTCCTGGCTGTTTTGCTGCTGCTCTTTGTTCTCCCTCCTCGCTGGGGTTTGCTGTGTTGCCTCTTGGTGGCACACTTGACCAAGGTTTGCTCGTGTGTGACTGTCCTTCCCGTTCTGTTTTCCTGAGCTGTGGAGCTGGGCGAGGAGTTAACTCGCAGAGCCTTGGAGCAGCCTGTTCGTAGGAAGCAGGACCCTCACACCTGCTCCTGTATTTCCAGGATGATTGGCACCAAGGTGCTTGCTGGGTGCTGAGACTAGTGGGACCCTGATTTAACAGAGGGCACAGGATTGCTGGAATGTGGATCCCAGTATGGTTTCCAGGATTCCAGTTAGTGCAAACCAAAATAAACTTGGGTGCAGATTTTTTTAGCAGATTGGTTTTGTTTGCTAAGCACAGACGTGAATTTCTCACTTTCAAGCAATATGCACAGAAGGAAGGGGAGGAGGCATCTCATGGAGGAATTTCCCCTCTGTGTGGATCACTGGTGCGACTTTTAGAATTTATGGGGGAAACCACCGACAGACAGCCCAGCTCCAGGAAGTCACCTTGGCTGCTTCAGAACAGCTTTTTAGGTGGCTACATAATTAAAAATATTACAGTCAGAAACCTCTTTGACCTGAATACGATTTTCAGTATTTTGGTTTGCATCAGAAGTGGCTTTTTAAATATATTTCTCTTTTCACTCCTCGCTTAAAGACATAAATGTAGGAGATTTCTGCTGTATTGTGTAGCTTTTGGTGTTGAGAGAAGAACAAAATAATGCGGTTTTGAGTATGTTATAAATGAATGCAATGTTATTCCCAGCAAGTGCAGCCTAACTTTGCAGCCTGGTCTCATGGGGTGCAGAAAAGAGCAGTGTGAAGGTGTATTTTAGAGGAGGCTCCCATGGCACTCTGAGTTCAGGACGTAGCAATTAGCTCAGCAGAGGAGACGGCGGGGTAATGAGCTGCAGCTAATTTGTCCATGTGGAAGCGTCTAACAACAAACACCTCTGGAGAAGTGAACAATTCTCTGCAAGAATTGCATCACTTTTCCAGGTGGGAGAAGCCATTGCATCATTCTGAGCCCCAGCCTGGAGCTGGAATTGCCTCCAGCCAGGGAGGGGCCCGAGGTCGGGGGGGCAAGGGACCATCTACGGGTAGTGCTTCCCTCCTGTCCTGCTCCACACAGGCATTGCTCTGCTGCTGGAGGGAGCCAGGGGCTTTTCCTGGGTTTTGATGAACAGAGCTCACTGAGGTTCACAACCTCCTCTCCCTGACCTCCAGCATGAAGGAAACAGTTTGGATGTTCACTGCCACGTTTGGGGTTAGTGGCAGTTGTTTACCTACAGCTGTTTCAGTTCCTCAGGATTATTGAAAATCAAGAAATATTTCTGGGATGTGGTTTTTAGGGATACCAAGGGATAGCCTGTTGCATTTTGGGTAGGCATAGCTGCCTTCTGTTGCCAGGTGAGCCTGATGGCTGGAAAATTCCCATTTCAGGGACTGCTATCCATGTCTCTTGATTTGGACAGTAAGTACGGCTTTTTAGATTAACCCAAAATCTAACATTGCAATGCACAAATTTCACAAATACCCAAACTGGAAAAGGAAATGTATTTTAGTATTGCTATTTTATTATTGCTACTGCCTGCTTACTGTAGCAGTAGTTTTTGCTTCATTTACCTGAAAAAGTCCCTAAGCATCTCCTTGCTCCATAGCTTCTTCCTTTTTGCTGAAGAACCAAAGGACCAAAACACAATCCCAGAAAACTACGAGCACTACTCAGCCCCCTTCTCAGAAAAGCAGCTGTTGAGATAATTGTGATTCCTCAAGTCTGGTCCTTCTAGCACTTAAATGATCCTCTGAGGTTGCTGGGGGTTTTCTCCTCAGAATCCTGTGGGTTTTTGTGATGCCACCTTGTTTCTGTCCAAATTTCCACTCTGTCTGAGAGGAGAGCGCAGTGCAGGGGAGGTGCTACCTCTGCAGAAGAGGCGGCAGGTTTGCAGTGCCTTTTCAGCTTTCAGACCCTCAGCTGTTCAGTGTCATTTCTTTAGTGCCACCCTACTGTGAGGGTGAGCATCACTTACTGTGCCTGGTGTCCCCTGTCACCAGCGCCGAGGGGTCACCCAGTGCTCAGAGGTGACCTGCAAGGTGAGTAAATGGGTCAGTTGTCACCCTGACATCGGAAGTGAGTTTTAACAAGTAACTTTAATAAATGTACAATCACACTTACTTGCCAGAGTATCTTTGGAATGGGATGCTTACATGTTTAAGGAACATAATAAAATGTAGAGACTTCAGGGATTCTCTGTGGCGAGGACAACAAACAGCCAGGGAAGGAGACACTGCGGTGGCTTTTTCAGTTCAGTGATGTGAAGGGCAGAACAAACTTTAAATATGGAAGCAGAGAAACCCAGCCCAACAGAGCTGGCAGATGTCCTGGGTGATTAAATGTCAGCACATGCAGCAGGCCTGCTCAGAGCCCAGCCTGGCTGCAGCCAGGGCACTTAACAGCTTTGTTTGTAGCTCCATTCCCTTCAGCAGTGAAAGGATGACGTGGATGAAATACTCTGTCAATAGAGATGGTGATGTGCTAGTGGACGTTATGTGTCTATAAGCCTCTTTATTTGTTTAAAATGCCCTGTTGGTAATTATGGAGAGGAAGCTGCAGCAGCTCTGTATAAGCTCATGTAGAAACACTGACTGGAGCTCTTGGTGTGGGAAATGGCTAATTAATAATAGGAACCATTTTTCAGTAGACCTGCTAGTGGAGAAGCTATATTAATTATTGTTTTTATTAACATTGATCTGACTTTTAATAAAGAAGTATTTGTGGGCTTTCTGTACAGTTGTTACTCGGCAGTAAGGAGCAGTGTACAGCCTGTAGGCTGTCACTGGGACCTGTAATAGCCTTCTAAAGGTACAATAAATAAGTACCTTTGCTTTTGTCCCCCACGGAATGGGTACTTCTTGCCCGGATTTCTGCCTTATGGTGTTGCACACAAGGACCCTTAGTTGTACAGAAACCATAAAGCTGTTTAGGTTCTTTCCCAGGCTGCCATTTAAAAGGAAATAATCTTAATATAGTCTATTAAGGCTTAGATTCCCCTATTTTAGCTTCTTGAGACTTCTTTCCAATGGCTACCATGATTTTCTCCCTCTTTTAATCTCCCCTTACCTCATTTTCTGTAGAAAATTTGCCAGTGTGCCCCCATTATGTGCTTTGAGTGCTTTGAAAAAGTGTTAACAGACAGCATGTTTCCAGTAGGGACAAACAAAAGTCCAAATGCCAGGGTCTCACAGGAACTCTCACATCCCCCTCTGCTCACCCAGAGCAGGGGAAGTGCTGGAGAAAATAGCTGGAAGATCGACTGAAAGCAGGGAGGAGCCAGGTCATGGCAATTGTAGGAGCTGTGTGCTCCAGAATGATTCTGGTAGTTTCTGTTTATTTTGCTTTGATACGTTTTCCCTTTCTAAACTGCTTCCATCCCACTCAAATTCCTGTTTTGTAGTCAGTGTTCTGTCTGTGGGACAGTTTGGAGCAGTCCTGCCACAGGCATTTGGGAGAGATCCGTGTGGGGACACAAAGTCATCTCCATGTTGCAGGCAGTGCCATGGCCTTGGCACCCACACCCCTGTCCCTGTCTCCAGGGAGTGCTCAGGAATTGCTCTCTTAGTGTGCATGAACCAAAATATTGCTTTTAGTCCTTAATTCCAATGGTTGCCTCAGCTGTAGCAAGTGCAGCTTGTCTGGAGGTCAGGTGTTAACTGGCACCTTGGAATGGAGTTTTCTGATGAGCTCATCCTGGGTTTCCTGAGGTTGTCAAATCTACTTTGTAAATTTTTATTGCAACTTAATTTTTGACAAGTTAACTCTTGCCTAAAATGTAACCGTAGGTAGGAAAACTTGGAGTAAGTAAATGGAAGCATTTGTTCCTTTAAAGTAAGAAAGGAAAAGGGAGGGTTTACCACTGAAGTCTTTCCCGTGCTGTAAATCTCAGCTGTTAATGAGGTGTCTCTCAGTGAGGAACAGAGTGAACTTTCAGTGAAAAATCCATGTTGTTCCTGTTGAGAGACAATTGGAAACGTGAGGAAGGCAGCTGGCAGGCTATTTGGTTACACCTGTAATCTGCAAAAGCTTGAACAAAAATTAGGTGAAGAATATTTCTGCAATTGACCTTTCAGTGAACTTGCATAAATTTATTTTGCTTACTCAGTGGATGTTTATGACCTTATAATTTGGATTACTAGATTAACCTATACTGAAATATGATACCATTTATAGGGTTAATGCATTTGAGGAGGACATGCATGTGATTGCCCCTTCCTCTCCCCCTTTCTCCAGCTTTAACACTACAGAGCATCATTTTGAATTGAAATAGTCCATAATGGTCCTTTTTTTCACTTTTCTTTAACAACATGAACACTAAATTATAGCTGTGCAATTATGTAAACAATGGAAATGCTTCCAGAATGAATACTTCCTTTTAAATTTTCATTTTGTGTAATTGCTGAAAGGTTCGGAGCCATAATAAACCAAAATGATTTTACACATTTATCGTTCTAAAGGTCAATTATGAAAGAAGTAAAGAAACAACACTGTGCAGAATGAGTAAACCAATTTCCATGGCCATCACCATATGTTTTTCTTATGGCTTGTGTTTTCCAGTTGCTGTGTACATAGCATTCAATTAAAGTGATTCATTGACTAGGCTGGAGCTGCTGCCCAGAGTTTACATTTCCAGACCCGCGCTCGGGAGGGAAGGAAGCGCCTGGGCTCTGTTTGGATTACCTGATTTTGCAGTATCACTGATAGCACAGATGTTCTCGCTCCCTCGCCTTCTCACAAGCCTCACTCTGCTGATAAGCTCCCAAAGCTACCGAATTACTGCCTGAAATCCTGTTTCATTGTGAGCTGGGTTGTGCAGGGAAGGGTGCAGATTGGGAAAGGGGGGAAAACCTGGCGGGATTACCTGTGAGGTCTGTCCTGGCGTGGTTCTGTCCGTTTGCTGTGCAGTCGCATCCAGCAGAAGGCCAGTTCCATAGCCAGGATATATTCTGCCTTGTCTTAGTTTAAGTGAAGTCACTCAGACCATCCAAGTGCACACTGGAGTGCCTGAGATGAACCATAGCAGTGGGAACAGCCTGGCAGAGTGGGTTGGTCCAGGCCCTGTGTGCATATCACAGCATGTAGCCCATGCTGGGAATTCAAAGGGAAACTAAGGATTGGTCCAGTAGCTTTTCAAAGTAAAATTTTCAAAGGTTTCTTACTATGGAAAGTGATTTTTTTGTTTTCCCCCCTAGTAGTAGTATATCTCGTAACCAGCGAGTAGATCCCTACAGCCCCATTCCTCCAGCGTTTAGGAATGTGTGTGTAGTCTCAGCATTCATATATTCAGGTAACAGTTGTGTGATTCCATCTTTCTCCTCGTTTTGGAAGTGTTCTGTGCAGGGCCCGGGGTGCAGGGGCTCTGCCCGTTGCTGTGTGTGACAGATGGGAGCGATGGGCTGAGGACAGGAGTTAATGCAGTTGTTGGGAGCAGGTCCCGGTGCTTCCTGGCCAGGTTATCCCGGGCTGCTTTATCGTGGCACATGTCAACAGACGTGTGCTCCCATCTGCTGCCCGAGATTAGGACCAGCCTGAGCCATACCTGGCCCTGCTGGGCAGGTGTGGCTGTGCCGACCAGCCCCCTGTGCTAATCAGGCCCTTAATTAGAAAAAGGTGGGTCCTTTGTTCTGCTCCGACTGTGAGTTTACCACCCGCTTTATGAGCTGCTGCATCCATCTGCTCCACATTCTCTGTGTTTGCATTGACCCATATTGACTTAAAAGGTATCAAAGGAAGTGATTAAAACTAGTTTAAACATTAACTCGGGTAGCATTTTAGCTTATTCAGGAAAGTGAAAGCATTATCTGCTACTATGTTTAAAACTAATACTATTTATTTAAAATATATAGCAGTTATTTCATCAGATGTTGGTGTTAAAAACGCTTAGTGGAACACTAAATAGGGGATGTGCAGATGTTTAGCGGGGCTTTGATAAAATAGTGGTGATATTAAAGCATCTCTTCATGTAAAGAAAATTGGGTTTATCAGCTTTAGCTTCTGCTGTAGATATTGAGCACATGGACACATTCTGGGACTCCAAGTTCAGGCCTTCTTTAGCACATCATAAAACCATAAGGGTGAACGTGGAAAAGTTCCTTTGTAACCTTCCTTCAGAATTTTAGTGAGTGAAAAATAATTTTCTACTCAGTATAGAAATAGCTTGATCTAACTCTTCAGCAAATACAGTGTTGCAGGTAAGGATTATATAGATTTTATGCCTAATTTTAAACCTGCTGAAAGCTTGCAGCAAGAAAATCTTAACTCAAATGCAGGAACTTTGCCCTGATTTGGAGAGACTACGAAGTCTTGAAACGTGGAAGGATTGAGATTGAAATGCTTATCTCGACCATGCTCTGTGTCACAGGGTGATGATGAGCAGAGCTGGGGGTGCTGGTCTGTTCCTTCAGGGCACAGGCAGCAGGTGTTGGGGTCAGCTTGTGTTCTTGTGGCACAGAATTTTGAGTGAAGCAGTTTAGGAACTCGCTCCTTTGGAGTGCTGCAATGCCTCATCTTAAATCCATTAAAGGTTTGGATGTTTTGAATCCAAAGACTTACTTAGCAGAATGGTTGTGCTTAGGCACAGAGAGAGACATGGGTGTGTGGTTTGGGTTTTTAACAGGGATTTAAGAGTAGAAATCTTAACCAAAACACCCAGTGCACTTTTGCTACTCCATGCATCTGGTGATGGTTACATGACAGTCAGTTTGCACACAGAGCTGTGGGGCTCTGTGAATTTGCACCTTGACTAGTGTGGGACTGGTGAACCTCAAAGTTAAATCTTCTCAAACTCTCCCTTTTGGGCTCCTTCTGTGGGTTATTTTTGGTTTGGCTTATTTCTTCTCACACAGGTAACTTCTCTTGCAGGATATCCTGAACACTGTCATAAAGCACTGCCCACCCTGGTTTTTCTTCCTGGGCCTGCCTGGGTTCACGATGCTCATCGGGGACTTCGTGGCGGCGGCGGCGCGGGTGCTGCGCACGGACACGCTGGAGGTAACGAGCTCATGGCTGCCACAGGCGGGCTCCTGGGGCCATGGCACGGCAGCTGGGGTGGGACATGGTGGCACAGGCTGCCCCCCTGCTATTGCAAAGGTGTTTCATCGAAAGGCCAAGGCGTGAGGAACCCTCTCCTGGCTGCTGTTGCAGCCCTCAAGAGTCTGATCAACCTGATCGTTGATCCAAAACTTAAAGTCCATGGAAAAAACCAAACCAAAACACCACCTTCCATTTCTCCTACAAGCATAAAACTGAGTGTTCCTCGTATTTTCACTATTACATGGAGTTAATGTGTTTCCAGCTCATGCCATGGTGCTTTTGATGGTTTTACCGAAGTAGGGATCTCTGCACATTGGAATTATCTATGCAGTCAGGATGGGTGCACTGTGCACTTTCTGTGTCACAGGATCACGAATAGCAGCGCTGGATTAGTACTTCAGCCTCTCACTTCAGCTTTTCTTAGGTGGTTCTGTACTTCCAGTTGATACCAAATGGCTGATTGTTGTATTGGGCAATGACAGAGGAGGTATTAAAAATGTAGAATGTGCTTAGGAGCAGGGCCAGATGCCTGCTGGAGAGCAGCTCAGCCTCACAAAGAGAGCAGGGCAGCACAGCAGCAAAAAGCACAGGCAGGAAGGTGTGTATTAGTCACTGCTCTCATACAGCTGTTGCTGGAGCTGTAAAAGAAAAGGTACTGAGACTACAGTGCTGCATTGTGAATCCAGCACTCTGAGTATGGCAGTGCATCCTGGCCTCAGACCTGATGGCATCTACACGTGTGAAGGTTTTTCTAATTAATATTTCTCTTTACTTGCCCCTCATTAGGCTCCCCGTTCTGAAGCTCACACCATCCTTGGTGCTCTCGTGTGCTTTCCAAATACTTACCAAGAAATCCCACGGTTGGGGCCCATTTCAGAAGCCAGTGAGATCAGCACAGGAACTGCAGATGTGAAGGTAAAGCCCCATTTCATTGTAAATCCTTAGGTAACCTATCCTATTTTTATTATTCAGTTACTTAATTCTTACTGTGAGTTTTTGGTTAAAAAAGGAACCCTTCCTTCTCCTCGAACCCCACAGCTGCACGTGTTACATGTGCTTTGCTGAGCAGTGCTTTGCTTGACATGTGCCATAATGTTAACAAAGCTTAGATACTGCAAATTCCAGTTGGATTTTCAAGGAGAGCAAGCTGGCTGTGATCAGATGCCATGTTTTTCCAGACAGATGCCATCCAGACCAATTTATTAAATAGTGTACGTGGTATTTAAAGTGTCCATTCGTTGTACCTGTGTCCATTAGCTCAGCCTGTAAGAGATGTGTGGGGTGTGTAAGGGTAGAGATTTTTTGCCTTATTGCTATTTCAGTAACCAGAGGAGTGCAGGAACCCCTTTGCACGCTGGGCACCCATTCTTGCTTTCTTCATCAGGCCTTGGAGAGTCACTGGAGGCGTGTTAAAACTGTCTCAATTTTAGAAGTGCCTTTTCTGTACTTAAAACCTAAACACTACAGTTTGTATGAAGTGACTCCCACTCATAGTTTGTAAAGACCCTTCCACTGAAAATGAATTGATTTGTCTTGCTGCCTGTATGTGAGTTCATGAGTTGTAGGTCGATTCAATTTGTCCACAAGGGCCTGTGTATTTGAGTTCTAATCGGTATTTCTGCCTTGACAAAATACAACTGGCATGAGCTAAAGATGCTTTAAGAACAGATTGAGGATTAAAGTGACTTCACTTGTAACTGTGTAAAAATTAACTTTAAAACAGAGGTATGGAAAAGATGCTTATTCTAATTTATTTTGTTGTTTTAGTATTGCCTCATAAATATTTTACTGAAGAATGCTACAGAGGAACCAAGTGAAGCTGCAAGGTAAATTGGGAAAATCATGGAATTGTTTGGGTTGGAAAAGATCTTTAAGATTATCAAGTCCTTGAGTTGGAAAGTCTTTCTTGCTACTTATTTTTGGTGCTTGTCCAGCTGAGGTGTTGCTACTGCCTTGTGGTTTGGTCCTATGAGGCTGAGCTCCACTCTGCACCATAAAGGTGCAGGCTCGTTGTGTGGGAGGGAAAAGAAAGATCTTTGTGCAATTTTTTTCTTTTTATTCTTTCCCCCCTCCCCCCTAAATGTTCTTCTAAAACTTGTGGCAAAACCACTCTTCCCTTTACCAAAGGTGCATAGCCATCTGTGGCCTGGGAGTGTGGATCTGTGAGGAGCTCACGCAGTGCACAAACCATCCCCACGTGAAGAAGGCCATCAATGTCATAGGTGTGACACTGAAGGTATTGCTCTGGCCGGCCCTAATCAATCAACATTGTGTAAAAACAGGCATTTTCACCTTTTAAAGAGCTGATGATGATCTGGAGCACAGTCTGCAGGTGTGGTGTCCTATACAAATGTGCAGAATATTTGCAAAAATAGCATGTGCTTGTGTACCTAAAGACCCTTTCCCCAGCACACTGAGTTAAAATCACACAGACAATATCAAACCTGCTGGTTCCTTATGCTGACGAGATGATTTCACAGCATTAACGTTTTTTATTGTTTGTGCAGATGCAAAATAATTTAAAATGTAGAAAAACTGAATGCATTGTATTGTATGTGGATATTTTATTTGGCTTTTAATCACCTTTTCTTTTCCAGTTTTCCAATAAGCTGGTAGCTCAGGTAGCCTGTGATGTTCTTCAGCTGCTGGTGTCTTACTGGCAAAAGCTTCAGGAGTACGAATCCTCCCTGTGCCGGAAAATCACTGAAGTACGTCAGACTCTTTAAAATGTTTGTAGGGAAATCATGTGCAAAGTTGTTTTAATTCCTTCCTTGAGCTGCTGTGATTTGTGAACTCCCTTCTTCTGCAGATATTGTTAGGGATGTAATTGCTGCAGTGCCAGGACCAGTGTATGTCCCATGTTTGCAGGGACTTGTTTTCAAAATGCTCAGTAAATCACTGTGTTTCACTTGGGCGTTGATTGACACAGGCACTTGGATGCTCCTAAGGGAACTGAACCTTTTCCATACCCTGTGCACATGAAGTCCAACTCTGTCTTTATAGTGAAAGAAGTTAAGTGCCTTTCTGTCATCTGTTTGTTTGGCTGTAGATCCTCGTGGCCACCATTGCCTTCCTTTTGCCAAGTGCTGAGTACTCCTCCGTGGAGGGGGATAAGAAGGTGCGTCACTGACGAGCTGCCTCCATTCCTCCTTTGTGCTGTTAGAGGTGCTTTTTAAATGAAGTCACTTTGAACCAGAGCTGTAAACTTTCCACCCCCTCCCTTGAAGTTTGGGTGAATTCAATGGAATATACCTAAATACATGTTCCATGTCCTTGTTCAGTTCATAGTTTCCCTGCTGCTCTGCCTGCTGGATTGGTGCATGGCACTGCCCATGAAAATGCTGCTGGAGCCCGTGTCTGCTGGTGCCGTGGAAGATCAACACGCATCCAGAGCTCCTTTACTGGACTACATTTACAGAGTGAGTATGGGAAGGAAAGTGATTTACTGTGTCTGGATGTTTAGAGATGCCTTTCACACACCCTGGTAGGCACAGAAGCAGTTTTGGCAAGCTCTAGAAAATCGTGAGTTCTTGCAATGCGGGCAGAAGTCATACAGGTGAGAAGTATGGATGCAAAATGTTAAGAAGATAAGATTAGAGATGTAGAACAGACAGGGGGTGCTGAAGAGAATGATAAAATGCTTAAAACAACAAACCAGGGAAGATAATCTTTGCAGAAATATTTGAAGTGGGTTGTTGAAATACAAAACAAGTCCTGAAGTGAGCTGTTAAAGTATAGAATCAGCGCAGATGGTGAGTGCTAATTTAAAAATGCTGTACTTGGCCACAGATGGTTTTTGTAGCAGGTCCTGGTTTTCGAAGTCAGAATTGGGAAGGGGCACTGCTCCCAGGGTGTGTTGAGGCCTGTCCTGTGGAGTTTATTTCTGCTGCAGTGTCCCACTGTCCCCTGGCAGGTCCTACACTGCTGTGTGAACGGCTCCAGCACATACACGCAGCAAAGCCACTATGTGCTGAGCCTGGCCGACCTCTCCTCCTATGACTACGACCCCTTTTTGCCACTGGGGAATGTCAGGAGCTCGGAGCCAGCCCAGTGCCACTCCTCCACGGATTTGGGCAACCTGCTCACTGTTGCTGAGGGTAAGAGAGCTCACAGAGCACGGACCGGCTGTGGGGATGTGGTAAAATAAAATAAAACTGCGGGACAGGTAGAATTCCTTGGAAAGCTGTTGTAAATAGTTCCTTGAAGAGGAAGGGTCGAGAAGACAACTAAAGCAAGCAGCTGCAGTGTGACAGAAATCCACAGTTGCTCTTTTTGAATTGTCTCTTGCTGCTCTTACTGATCCATTATCTTTTCATTGATGGTTTTAGAGAAAAGGAGGAGGAATTTAGAATTGATACCTCTGACTGCACGGATGGTGATGACTCACCTGGTGAATCACTTGAGCCACTACCCGCTCAGCGGAGGCCCTGCCATTCTCCACAGCCTCCTCAGCGAGAACCACGACAACTCCTACGTGGAGTCTTCTGAGCTGTCCTCGGAAGTCTTCCGGAGTCCCAACCTGCAGCTCTTTGTGTTCAATGACAGCACTCTCATATCTTACCTCCAAATCCCTGCAGAGAAGAGGGCAGGTGCTGAGCCGGCAGCAGCCCCCTCGGACGTCAGGGTGATCGTCAGGGATATCTCAGGGAAGTACTCTTGGGATGGCCGGATACTGTACGGCCCTTTGGAGGGCTGCCTTCCACAGCAGAGCACCACCAACACCTTTGTGATCTCCAGCAACCCCGAGCACCCCTTCACTTCCCAGAACGACATTTCCCAGGCAGAGGAAGGAGAAGATGCTCTCGACCAGTTGCTGGAGAAGATCGGTGCCACCAGCCCCGAGTGCCTTCTGCACCCCCAGCGCAAGCTGAACGAGCCGGCGCCGCCGCCCTGCGGGATGAGCTCCGAGCAGGAGCGGGCCATCATGGAGGCCCTGATGAGGCAGAGCGCCCAGGAAAGGGAGTTCATCCTGAAATGCAGCTCGGACTGCAACATGAAGGTGGCCCGCCAGGAACCACCACGCCCTGCTGAGCCTCAGGCCTCCTTTTATTTCTGTCGACTGTTGCTGAACGACTTGGGAATGAACTCCTGGGATAGAAGGTAGGGAGAGGGTATTCAGAACACGTTTACAGTACTCTTACTCTTCTCACTTCTTACCCCCAAATGTGTACACACTTAAGAAAACAAGATTTTTAAAAATAATGTCATGTTAATTTGATTCATTTCACTTAAGTATTTGGATGACAAAATACTGAGTCTGTATGGTGTTGCATTTGCCTTCAAACCTTTTTTTATTTTTTTTTTTTTAGAAAAAGCTTTCACTTGCTTAAGAAAAATTCAAAATTGCTGCGAGAACTGAAAAATCTGGATTCCCGCCAATGGTAGGTGATGTGTTCTGGACACAACATTGATAAGGTTTGTGTTTCCCAAGGCAGAATGAGTGAGTCACCAAATCGAAAGCTCTCCTGCCATTGCCTGTGCCAGCAATACAAATATTAGTATGTAAGATTGATTGTTTGTTTCTCCAGAGTTCTGCAGCCCAATGGAGAAGCTGTCTGCACTGGCACTGTGTACAGCCAATTCCAAATCAGTAGCAGATAATAAGACAGAGTAACCTATTTCCAGTTTGCTTAGCTGAGAAGGGAGGGAAGAAGCTCCCAAATAGTTTGTGACCTTGGTTCAGCTGACACAAAGGACCATTTCTCACAGGATGGTCCATGTCAGGAGCAGTACTTTAAGGGGTGATCTCCCCAACCAGGAAGTGGCAGAATGGAGTTCTGAATGTTATGTTTTATTTTTCATTACTGGACATAGAGCTATTTGAAAAGCCTCTGCAGCATTGCATCCCAACAGTTTCCATATGAAATCCACTTTGCTGTTTTTCAAAGAAGCCAACTGTCTTTGTCAGCCTTGTAAAACTCAGCCCAGGATCTAAGAGTCAATAATGTTTCTTTCTCCTTGTATGTCATCACCCTGTAATTAAAATTCTGTAGGTCAAATTATGCTCCCATTAACACCTGTGCCACCTCACCGTCTGTGGCAAAGCTGCACAGCTCTGAATCATTAACCCTGTAATTGGAACTTGGTCACCAGGACTGTGGCTGATGCACAGAAGGACCAGCCTTGGCTCCTCTCTCGGAACTGGGGGGTCTCTGCAGCAGGAGGAGGAAAAATGGGCAGAAATCTATTTCTGCAGCTGAAAGTGAGCAATGGACTTGTGTGCAAAAAAGAAATGGATGCATGGACTTAAATGTGGGCACCTGCTCATAGCTCTGGAGTGCAAGGGATCTAAAAAATAATTTTGAGCTGAAACTTCTTTAACTTTGACTTCTTTTTGTGTCCCATTTCAGCCGTGAGACTCACAAGATCGCCGTGTTCTACATCGCCGAGGGACAGGAGGACAAGTGCTCCATCCTGGCCAACGCCAGGGGAAGCCAGGCATATGAAGATTTTGTAGCAGGACTGGGCTGGGAGGTAATAGCCATAAATGTAGGCAAACACGTTGCTCATGTCACTGCATAGTTTTTAATTCTCATTAAAAAAAAGATAAATTCACTACACACTGATATTTAGCTGCTTTTAGCTCTTGACATGGTCAGAGCACACTCTCACCACAGGAGCTTCTTCATGAAGCTTTTGGGTATTACTTGCCTTGTCAGAATGGTGTGTCATAGTCTAAGTGCCACGAAAATTTATGGGTTTGGGAAATACAGAGTAGCTGCATGTTAAGGATCGAAGTTTCACAAGGCTCAGAGGAAGAGGCACCATCCTGAGGCTGGTGCCACTGGGAAAACAATCCTTTGGACTCAAACTGGACTTCAGAGAGGCATTTCTTCTGAATAAACTTCTGGAATAATTTCTTCCTAAGGTTTTTCTTTCTGTACAAATCTTAAGTTTCTTCTGCAGTTTTTCTGGTTCTTTCTCTGCTCTTTGGGAGGCTCCTGGCACTGGGAGGTCTGAGCCCTTGGAGGAGCAGCACGTGTTGCTTCCTTGCTGCTGTTTGCTGTAGGAAGGTAGAATCACCAGATGGATACTGGCTCAAGACCTGGTTAAGAGACATTTGCTTTTAGTGAGTGTCCAATACAGGAAGGGGAAAGACAGATCTAACAGAAGGATCACAAAGCTTTAAGGGAAGACATTTTTAGGGTGGCTGCAGAGTCCTAGAATCATAAATTCCTGAAGTCTTGATACAGAAAATAAATACTGATAATTCATCAGTCTTTTCACATTTCCTCTAATCCTGCCTTTCAATCCCTCAGGTGGATCTTTCCACGCACGGGGGTTTCATGGGCGGCCTGCAGCGCAATGGCAGCACAGGACAAACTGCTCCCTACTACGCTACCTCCACCGTGGAGATCATCTTCCACGTCTCCACCAGGATGCCCTCGGATTCGGACGATTCGCTGACCAAAAAGGTAAAGAATGTGCAGTGTGCTGCACACTCTGCAAGGGCTTAAAGGAAAGTTTGAACAGAAAGCAGCTTGTGCTAACTGGCCCTGGCATCCCATCTTTGCTGTGCCACATGGTGCTCTGCAGCTGGATTATCTGAATTAAATGGCATCTAAATTCTGGGTTCTGAAACACAATTAACATTTCCATGGTAGCCTCAAATACCACCATGAGTAATAATATTAGCAATAATTTCATTTGTATGTTGTCTGCCTGCCAAAGCCGTTGCAGGTTGGTAGAACAAAACAACCAAATGCAGCATAATAAAACCTTCCAGACCAATCATTCTGCATGGAACAGCAAAGCAAAAGGGAGGTGACAAGCTCTGGACCCAAGGCAGTCACAGCAGATAGCTAAAGCCAGTAACCACTTCTGCACAATTCTGACAAGCAGCCTCTGCTTCAAAGGCAGCCAGAACCCAGCCCAAAACTTTGTTGGTGTCAGTACTTAATCTTTGTCTTTCCTATCAAGGAGTGATTTGAGATTTTGGTGCTTACCAGCTGCTGCTTAGAGTCAAAGAAGATTTTAGGGGCATACCAAATCTCTGCTTTTTTAATTAGGATTGGCAACTTGTTCTGCAGAGGTTGTTAATGTGCATCAATAACGCTGCTGAGGCTATCCAGCACACCAGGGGATACTGCTGTGCTCTGAACATTGTCTACAAATGTCACTGGGTGACTCTATTTACTGTCCAGTTGGTTTCAGAATCACATGGGCTCTTCCTTTAAATATAAAGGTGAAATTTCTGCTTACTGGTCCTGAAAAAATTGCCCAGCATTTCATAGTAAAGCCAGATCCTTTCTTTTTTACTGGGATATCTGTCATTTTAAAAAAAAGTCAGTAAAATTACATGTTTCTCTTTCTGTATGCAACTCATTATCTTCATATCAGTGGATTTACATGGCTATGGGAAAAATGTAATCTGAGTTCTTGAGGATGGAGAGGTAGGGCAGTGGGACATAGTGGGGGGCTGTAGAGTCTGTGACTTTACCGGGGTAGGACTATGTGTATTTTTATTGTTCCTGACAAGTATTTGTCCAGCTGCTCACTCAAAACTCCAGTGATGACTGATTTAGTTTCCCTAGGCAACATATTCCTACGCTCCACTTCTTGTACCATGACACAATCTCTTGCACCATCTACTTTGCTTCAATTTAAGCCCATTGATTCTGCTCTATTCCACATGGATATGGAGGGCAGACTGTTTTGCTGCACACTTATGCATGTCTGAGAATTGCTACCATGTCTTTCCCAGACTTACTTGTCCTACAGAAATTGTGTCTGTTTAGTCTGATCTTCCCTTGTAAGTCCTGGCCTCCTGGGTTTTGTGGAAGCCCAGCAAAGACACTGGGATATGATCTGGCTGTCAAGTAGTACATCATCTGGGAGAGCAGAGAGCACAGTGATGGAGCTACCACATGGGGAGAGATGGGGTTTAACTGCAAACAGTCTATTTACTAGTTCTCCTGATTCCCACCCATGTTAGGGGTTATCACAGACACTGAGAGTCTGGTTATTCTGTTTAATTGTCTTGCCTGTGTTTGCTCTAAGAGAATTCCTTCTTTGTGAGAAACAAAAAGCAAAAGCATTTAGTAGCTACCAGTCTCCAAGTCTTGCAGTGCCAGAAAACCAGGCCAACTCCAGCACATACTGTCCACAGAAAATATCACAAAGGAATTGCTCTAAGACTTTTTTAAAGAAACCTGAAATCCGCTATAGGAATGGAACTCTGCAGGGATCAAACTGCGTATTCCTGTACAGGACAAAGCTCTGAACAATCTCATGGATATCAGGAGCTGGAAGCAGGGGCTTGGACCAGATGATTTCCAGAGGGCTTTTTAACATGGATCTATGCTTCTGCACACAACAGTTTTGTTCAGTTTGTCACAGGTCTGTTGTGAGCAAACGTGGTTCTGTGCAAATGAGCACAGGCTGTTAGCAGATCTTACAGAACTGCAGCTCCAAGTGGACAGAAGGTGCATTTCAGAAGCGCTGCAAAGTTTCTGGAAGATGGACAGTTCCCTCATGCTTTGGAATGCTGATGGATGAACTAGCCTGCATTTGAGCATGGCTGACTATCCAAACGGAAGCCAAACCACTCCATGATTCTGTGATTCTGCAGGAGCTCTTTTCACCCAGAAAGCGTAATGTCCTGGAATGAAGACACTGTCACATCCTGGGGATACAGGACAGTGTTACTGGCAGGAGGAAGTTTTATCTGGTTGCCAGTCAGGACGCAATGGGGGCCACAACTTCTTTTTTTCTTGCCCTCTCCTTCCTTCCATCAGATGCTGTCTGGGATCTCCGATGCCCCTTATCTCTGAAATCTGTGTGATTTCTGGGGTTCTTTGCTTGTTTTGCCTCAGACCCACCGAAGGGCTCCAATCCTGTCAGCGCGCTCGGCTCGGGCACTCCGGGCTGAACAGAAGGACCGACCACCTGCTGGCCTGGGGAGCCCTGCAGCAGCCCATAAATCCTGGGGGCTGGGGAATTAAGCAGATGCAGTAATTTTACTTAAATATGTTACTGTGGTTTTTATTTTTACTGAACACAGGGATAAAGTAATTTCTGGTATAAATTCCCAAGAATAAGTCCACGTTCTCTGAGGATGAACTTGGCCCCTTATTTTTGTGCAGCAGAGTTCTGATTTGCAGTTTGTATTTCTTTATTTGAGGTATATGCTGACATATTATATTGCTAATTCAGGGAGAAAGAAAAAAAATCAAAGAATGAAACCCTCTCTAAATAAGTCTTGACCCTGACAGAAACCTTTTCTAGTGGAGTAAACAAAATTCAGCTGATCACTTTTGCTGCTGCAGGGTTCAGCATCATTGGTTCCAAACTTTATCTGGCTGTCGTGTGGCAAGAGTGAAAATCAATCCCAGGAATGGCATTCTACTGTCCCTGTCTTGTTCTGCCCAAATTGCACTTAACAGTTTAAAGATGTGCTGCAGAATTTCTTGGTGATTTATTCCATCTTCTCCATTGTCAGAGCAGAACTTTTTCAATTCAGAAATCTGGTTGCAACCCCATAGTGAACTCTTGCTCCTTCGCTGCAGAAATTTGTTAGCTGGGGCTAGATTAGATTTTTAGCAGCTAATCTGACTGCTGTAGGGCTTTGCAGAGTGGGGACAGAGCTGTGCTATTGGATTTGTCCAATTCATTTGACTCCAGGACTATAATTGCACTTATGTCTTACAAGGCTTTTATGGCCTCGGGCTGGCGAGCAGCAGAAAAACAAATTGGCAGTGATACAGTGAGAGTGAAAGGGAATGAAAGGCACACATTATCAGTCTCCAGGCAGCCCTGCTCTGGCAGGAAGTTTCTTGGTTAATTTACAAATAAAACTTAGATTTTAGGATGGGCACACTGTCAGGCAGACAATGGGGATGTCAGGCCCCACTGATACTTAGCAAAAGTAGCAGCCATGCCTCCCCAAAAGCAGGAATTCTTCAGTCAAACAGACGACTCCTCTCTGGAGCCAGCTGGCTGTGTAATGCAATTAGCAGGGAAAGGAGGTCAGGCCGAGGTGTGCACCGTGACCAGCGCCGGCGCCCTGGGCACCGGGCGTGCGGAGCCTCGAGCGCTGCCCGTGCCCGGCCCGAGCACGGGGATGGTGGGGGACTGACCCCACGGGGGGGGACTGACCCCACAGCGTGTCCGAGCACCTGCAGCCCAGAGCGTGTCCATCACACCCGTGTCAGCCAAACCGCCTCCCTGGGCAGGCGGAAAATCCGCGCTCTGCCCGCGCGCCTGAGAGGAGACACAGCTGCCATTTCCAGAGCTGTGATTGCTCCAGTCAGCACTGAACTGAACAGCTCTGAGCTGCTCCATTCTTGGGCTCTGCTTTTTAATATCTCTCTGATTTCCTGGCTGATTTGGTGTTTTCTTTAATGTATTCTTTTCCTTTAGCCCCCACTCCTAAACCGCATGGAGAGCACAGCCTGGAGCTCTGGCTCCACGTGTGCTGGCTGTGGGGCTTTAGACCTTTCAGCACAAGTCCTTCATGGCACTGACTGCCCCACAGCTGCTGTTTTGAATAAACAACACAGGAAAATAGCTGGCTTATTGTCACTGATAAGATTATTTATAACGGCTTTTTATCAGTGAAATTATCTTTCAATAACAAACATTTTTGATTAGTACCAGTTTTTCCTTTGTAACATTGTACCTTGTTGCTGCGACTCCTAAGGATGTGTGACTTCAGGGGCAGTAACTCAAGCTCTACAATGAGCTGCTGGCACACAGTGGGGATCCTAGCAGAGATGGGATTCATGATCACAGGACCTTTGCAAGGGTTTGAGCTCACAGCCATCACTCCCTGTCCCACACAAGCACAGCAAGTGCCAGTTCAGCTGACTTCTCCCTCTTCACTGAATTCTCTTCTCTAGGCGTGGAGTGGGACAACCTGGCCAGCCACCCACATCCCCAGCATCTGGAACCCACTGTGCACAAAGTCTGGTCACTAGAAAGATTTTGGGGGTTTTTAACACTAAATTTGACATCTTGCTTCTAATCACTTTGGCACAGAAATCAGGGGGACCATGAGAAATCAACAGTTTCTACTGATTTTTTACATGTAAGAAGCTCTAGTAATAGTACTGTTAATTGGTGGTTTTTACAAAACACAAAGGGTTCATGTTTTCTTCAAACAGAACTAAAATTATCTGTTATTCATAGGTGTAAATAAAACACAACTCTTTATCTTCAGTTTAATTTAAAATAAACTCTGAGAATCTCAGTCGTCCTGTGAACTGAGCTTTACTTTACTGGAGTATGACCTGTAAGCCAAGGTCACAGTTGTGACTGTTTCATTCTCATAATGTGTTGGCTTTGCCACATTTCTCTCGTGACTGGGGTCCATTTTGCCACCGATATGTAAGTGAAAGTTTTTCCTTCTAAAGGCACTGCCTGATTCTGAAGAGGGAAGTTACATTGGTCCATGGGCTGATCCCCAGGGCATGTTGGGGTAGCTCAGTTGTTATTTACCAATGAAAATCACCGCTTTCTTTTCCCTTTCTTCTTTCCCCCCACACAGAGTGAAGTAGCAGAGCTTCGTTTTTGCTTCTTTGTTCGGTCTATTGTGCACATTGTTCCAGGGGTAGCACCAAATTGTGGGGGTGGGGGGTGTCTTTTAAGCTTTAAGTGGGACTTAAATTCTTTTTATGCATTGGGCTGGCATTCTGCATGTGGATTACATTTTAACTTTAAAGCTTACAGTTGAAACCATTGTGTGAGGCTTGTACGTGATTGCCAAATAGTTTTTGCCATCTGTTAGATCACCTCCAGCTCCTCCAGTAGCAGAGCAAACACACACAGGCTCTCAGATGCATTTTGTATGTGTCACGTGTAAATTTTAGCCATATTTTGTGCAACTCTGCTCCAAATAAAAAGGTAGCTCCCACAGTATTTTCCATTCTTCTCTCACTCATGTTGCCCAGATATTTTGCTGACATTTCAAGCAGAAACCCCCTCCAGACACAGTGAGGAGATGTTTGTGGATAATAAATTCAGTTATAGTGGTTCGTGACAGACAGTTTCTTGACATCCTGAGTCAAGGCATTTCATATTTCTGTGACAGCTGCCTCATTTTAGCTGGAATATGATGTTCTGTTGGGTAATATTTTTTTCTAGTAATTCAGTTTTCCATCTTAAATCACTGTAGGTAATGTACATTTACATATCATGCTAATGGCTAGTTTGATAATGACTTAATTAAGCCATCAGACAACAATGTGTTGTGAATGAAACAAATTATTGAGCTGATGCTTTCATGAGGAACTGGAGAAAAACAATATTTTAACTTTTTCTGTAATGAAATATTCCTACTATTGAGCATTGTAATTCAATTTGTGAGCCATGACCCCTCCTAAACCGTGGTTATCACTCGGATTAATAAAGAGCCAATTTGCTGTTGCAGCTTCGTCACTTGGGAAATGATGAGGTTCACATCGTCTGGTCTGAGCACACCCGCAACTACCGCAGGGGCATCATACCCACGGACTTTGGGGATGTTCTCATTGTCATTTACCCCATGAAGAATCACATGTTTTTCATAGAGATCATGAAGAAACCAGAGGTACGTTTGGGCTGCTTTGCTGGGCTTGTCATGTGTTGTGCAGTGACCAGCAGTTCTGCTGCTTGAATAAAGCTCGGTGCTTTTGAGTTCGGGGGTTATTTTTTCCCTGCAAGTATAAAATACAATCTGTCCATCTCAGGCACAAAGCTGAGCAATGAACTTGTACTTTAAAACTGGAATTACTAACGGTGATCCAAGAGCCTGCTCATTCATTTTATGGTCACAATTAGCGCTCACAGAAACGTGTCAGAATTCTCAACCCACAGAAATCACCGTGCAAAGTGCAGTATTTAAAACCACTGTGCGTTTGCAGTGTGAGGCAGTGAAAGCAAAACACTCGTGTGCTGTGGGGTCACCCCGTGTGTGGGTCACTGTCCCACAGGTGGTGCTGTGCAGAACCTCGTGCTGTGGGGGACTGGCAGTGCTGTGGGGTCACTGTCCCACAGGTGGTGCTGTGCAGAACCTCGTGCTGTGGGGGACTGGCAGCACCGGCTGACTCGGCAGGGTGATGGAGGCACTGGGTATCCTGACAGCAAACAAAATGTTGAAGGTTCACTATTTCATGGTTAAATCATCATGTGCAACCACATTTGAGATGTTTTGGGGGGGGGGAAAAGGCATTTTTTTTCAACATAGCAAGGGTGTGTGTACGTACATCTGTGCATAGGTATGAAAAAGCTGCTGCAGTAAATGCTTGTCTGGTATGTTATGAACACAAAAATGTATATAAAATATACTTTGTGACAGTAATCAGTGTGATAAATACCGTTTCCCTTAAATGATGGACAGTACTTGTCCAAGAGAGTAACCAGCTGTGGCAAATGCCTTCATCAGGTGATGTATTTACCAGCTGTAGACAGTATTTTTTGAGTTACGAATGATGGAGTTGTTAGATATTGACAACCAGTGGTTTGTCAGTAGATGTTTCAAATTTGAAAATTTTCTGATGGTGGGGGATTTTTCCTTACATTTGCCATTGAGCTCTGCAATTTACTTTTTGGGCATTTTATTTTCCCAGCGGAACATTAAGAGCTAAGAATTTGGTGTGAGGAACACACTCGAGACTTCTCTGGAGCAACGGAGAAAAGCTGTGTCATCTTACATATTAGTCAAAAGCACCCGACGGGCAGCCAGAATAAGAGCTAACTGGAAATTTAGTGTTATCCCTACATTTAAAGTACAAACCATTACAATGTAATAAAATTAATCCAGACATTTCCAGGGCAAGTGTGGCTGACCTTTTGTTCACCAGCTACTGACCCCAGGGTGAATGAAAGAGGCTTGCAGAGAGAAATGTCTGTTGTTTGGCTTCAGTCCCTGGTATTTAAATTGCATTCCCTAATCGAATGAAAAGGCTGTCCTCTCTATCAGGTTACAGAATCCATGGCAACATTTGGCCTTTTATATCCATAATGTTAGCCTTTTTGTTTGCAGCCAAGTAGAGACACCTGGAGCAATGTTAACATTAACCGCTTTAGCATTAATAGCTTCATTATAGAAGAATTTCTGATCAGATAGCTGTTACTTTTGTTATGTTGCTTCAGCTTGTATTGTTTTCATTTTTGATCTCCCTGCTTGGCAACCGGGCAATGATTTGCAAATTTTTTTTGTCTTGATTAATTAAGCAATATAATTATCAGGAACCGTGCTGCAGTCTTTGCCCGACAAAGCTTCGGGGGGAAGACAATAGTAAGTCTGTTAGTGTGAATGCATTCCACGCGTCACAGATGCACGAGGATATTGGGAACAATGAGAGGAAAAGCTGCCTGCGAGAGGGGACAAAGCATGCCAGGCAGGCTCCGCACTGCACATACCGCCAGGGACATGCTGCGGGTTCCCTGGGACACAGATGCCTCGTTAGATTGCAGCTCGTCATCAGAGATTAATTCTCAGCCATTTGGTACAATAATTTACCCATTCCCCTCTCTTTTAACTAGTGCTGCTCGCCGTAGAGGGGAAGTCTTTGTGCTCAGAAGGTTTATTTAACCTTGCCTACTTTTACTGCGGGCAACAGAAATAATGATTTTTCTGTTGGAAATTGGAACGAAGCAGGTGTTTGCAGTGGGCTGAATATTAATTTTTGCTTCGTGGGTAACTCGCGGTGACATTTGGAGTACTCGCAGGAGGGGATCTTTGCCTCTCCCCTTGTTTTTAATTGATTCCTGTCAAAGCAGCCTGTTTGTTATAACCATCCCAGCCCCGCTTTCCTCGGATGGTGTTTAATGCCGGGGCACGGAGCCGTGCCCAGCGGGGAACGTGCCCCGTGCGTTCCGCTGGCCTCCCCCCAGAGCCCTGGCTCGGGCAGAGCCCCTGTACAGATGGGAGCTGACGAGATGCAGCTCCATTGACTTTAATGACCCTCGGCGAGGCCGCTGGATCTGCTCGGGAATGAATAATTCCCAGCTTTGTGTCCGTGGTCCGGCTGTGCCGCGCTCGCATCGCAGCGGGTCTGCGGAACCCTCAGCTCCTCTCTCCGTGTGGGGAGCATGTGCAGGGGAGCGTGTGTGTAACACAGACACACCTCATCCACAGTTTCTATCTATAAATTCTGTAGTGCTGTGGTAAGAAACTCTGCCCCGCTCCCCAACTCCAGGTGGGTCTGAAACGGAGGCACCAAGTCCTGTCAGCCTGTCCAAAAAGCCTGACAGGGAATTCCCCTGCGCCCGCAGCATCTGCTGCTCTGACTTTACATATCTGGTATTTGGGGGGTGGTATAATTTTAATACTAGTATGTACTTAACCTCCTTATTTGTGCTAAAGAATATAGTTTTACATACTTTTCTCTTGTTGTCAATACTTCTAAACAGAGCATGGGGTAAAAATTCCACTTAGAAACTTGATGTTCTGGAACATTATCATTTCGGTGGCATAGATTTTCCTCTATCTCCTTTCTTTTCAACTGCCTGGGCAGTAATGCCAGCAGTAAATAAAAATCAAAGGCAAACCCACTATGGAAACGTTTTACACTAATCTATTTTTGGGGGTGGGTAATTATTTTAAGTAAAGGAATGACAGAATAAGTGTGTGAAGAGACAGCTGTCATTTGCAGATGTTATATTAACCCCAAATTTCTTCTGTAATTCATTGCCACTTCTAATTAGAGGAATTCCCTAGATGCAGGGGATTTATACTATTCCCTTTGTCCATTTATTGAATGACTGTCACAGTCACCCACAAGCAGTTGCAGAAGAATAATAGAGGGTATTTATTTATGTGATAAGCCTCTGTACAGATGGAAAAAATCCATAGCTTAAATATTGATAATTTCTGCTGGCTTCTGTTTAGGGCTTTGGTTGGGGGGTTGGTTTTTTTCACTTTGAGTTTGTGAAAGGGAAGTGAGTTTGAATACTTGTAAGTCCTAAAATTCGTTATGTATTTAAACATCAAAATTTTCTGGGTTTGGCTGACCAGGCCTGTTATGTGTCTGCAATTGCAGACATGGTTGAGTTTCAGAGAGCATCTCTGGTACTTGGTGTGGCCTTTCTCTGCAGAGCCCTGGGTCCTCAGGGGGCATTGTAACGAGAGTTCCTCTGGAGGTGACCCTGACAGGGCAGTTTTGGAGCACCCTGACGTGCTGGGCTGGGCCTGTTTGTGCCTGCCCCAGCTGTGTGTTCTGCCCCTCCGAGGGGGCCCTGCTCTGCCATCTCCTCTGCCTTCCACACACCTCCTTATCTTGGTCCAGCCTGAGGTTTTTTTCCTTTTCCACAAAGTCCATAGAAGGAGTTTATAGAGGATTATCTGAAGCAAATACGTCTTTGCAAAACCTCCTGCCAACGTTGGATTCAACCAGTGAAAAGGGTGTTGCGTTGGGATCCCAGACAGGAAACAGTTCTTAGTATCTGCTCCCCATGGCATATCGCTTGCAAATTCGTAGGGGGATTTGGTTCCTGTGTGAAACAAGCTCATGTTACCCAGCTGAATGTTCTGTGAGATGGACATCCATGTACAGCATGCTGAGGGCGGTGATGAAGGATTTAAAACTTCCAGACCTGGGGGATGAATGTCACACTGGAAGTTTCAGTGTGTGGAACAATGTGCTCAGAGTGGTTTATGGCAAAATGCTGTACCCATCTCCTGTGGTGGTTCTGAGCCCTGCTTCTCTGTTTTGGGTCCCCAGGTGCCGTTTTTCGGTCCTCTCTTCGATGGAGCGATCGTGACCGCGAAGCTGCTGCCCAGCCTGATCTGTGCCACGTGCATCAACGCCAGCAGAGCCGTCAAGTCACTCATCCCGCTCTACCAGAGCTTGTATCCTTTCTCCCGGGGGGCAAGGCTCCCCTTGGTAGGGTTCTTACTTCAGAGCATCCTTCGGCAGAGAGGTAGGCTCGGATGAAAATTCTTCCTCTGTGATTTTATTGGCAAGGGTCAGTGCTTTCTTCACGTCCGGCTTGATGTTTTCAGTGGTTCACAGCCAGTTGCCCAGTGTTTTAAAAATAAAATGGTAACATCCCAGGAGTGCTCTAACCAGCAGCTTCCATCTCACTGCTGGCAGACTGGACTTAGCACTGGTGCTTCGAACTGTGAGTAATGATTGTTATCAGTTTTCCTTCACGCTGATGGACGTTACCAGCTGTGTACGTCAGGCTGATGCACAGCTCCGCCGTGTTCTTACCCTGTTCAAAGTTCTAGTCCAGTTGACTTCACCTGGATTCATTACATTAGAAAGACAGGTGGGATGTGTCCTCGGATACAGATGTTTCAGTTTCCAAATTGCGGTTTCAGTCCAGCCACGCCTGTATTTGGGCATTTTCAGAGCCTGTTTTCCAGCAGTGACTGGAAGGTAACCAGGGGATATGCTCTCTGGGACAGGAGTTGTGACACAGGCTTTTATTCTTGGGTGCTGCACAGACCCACAGCACGAGCACTGGTTTTCACTCATTCTAGGATTTTCTCATAATGCCATCAGACATTTTATAGCTTGTTTTGCTAATCACATCACTTATCTCAGGACCAACACTCACTGCACTTTACTTTCTCTGGGGAGCTTTTGATTTGAGTATTTTTCTAACCACGTGACTTTGAGAAAGTGTTTGTCAGTGAAATGTTTTGATCTTTGAAAGAACATTAATGAATTAGTTTGAGATGCACATTTTTAAAACACAGGATATCCTCAAAGTACTAGCTGTTTTTTTTTTTTAAAGACTATATTTTAACGAGTATACTTTGCAAAAGTTATCATAAATTAAAAGTAGCCCTGTGGTTAAATAGATTTGTATTTTATTAACTGAACTGTGTGCTCATGGTAAAGCAAAGGCAGTTGGTGGCGGTTGTACAAACCGTGGCAGTGCCTGACAGGTGAGTCAGGACTTGCTGACTTTTCCGCTTCTGTTTCATGAGAGGAATGGAACAAATTCCTAAAACTGTTCTGTGCAGAATTCTGTGTGCTTCTCAGTCGGTGGATCGTACTGGAATACAGGGTAGCAAAACTAACACAGGTAGCAGCAGTTACAGTAACGGAGCAATTCCAGCCCCTCGCTCCCGGCTGGAGTCCTCTGGTCCAGACCCTGCTCAGCTCTGGGCTTTTCAGCACTTTGTAAGCGAGCAGAGCTCATCAGCTGGCCGTGCTCCTGCTTTCCAAGGGGCTCTCCCTCGGGGTCCCTGCGTGTCCCCAGGGCGACACGAGCAGCACAGACACGGCAGCACAGGGCACTGCTCCGCACAGGTTGGGAGCAGCATCTGTCCCCGCATTCTTTTCCGCCTTTTTTGTGGCTGCTTGTGCACCAGTGATGTCTGTAGTGAATCAACTGCCACTTGTCTGTCTGATAAATGGAAGTGGATTGAGAAACTCCTGAAATAGGGACAAAGGGAATGTGGTGGGCAGATCCCATCACGATGACACTGGAGCAGGAGAGAAAGATATCCATAACTCATCCTACAGATAATGATGCACTTTGAGATGTACTAAAATTCATAAAGAGACAGCAATTGGAATGTGTGTAGATGTGTAAAGGTGATGTTTGAGCCCAGTGGAGCCACATTGCTCCACAGCTTCTGAAGGGTGAGTGACTCCACTCCAGTGTTTGCTTTGCCAGCTGCTCTGAGGAGAACAGGAGGGAAACGGACACAGCAATGCAAACAGTAAATGAAAGTGCTTTTATCAGACTGGAGATGGAGATAACTCAAAAATGTCAATGGGAAGGAGAAATAAAAAGCAATAATCCTGGCAAAGCAAGGGGTGTTTGGTACACACCAGTTGTAACCGTGCAGTTGGGGTGAGCACTGAAGGCTGGAGTGAGGCAGAGCTGAGGATGATTTGCCACCTTCTCCTTGGCACCCGGGTCCTGTGTAAAGGCACCACCCACACTAAGGGTCAGTAGCTAAAGGTGTTTTGATTCAAGTGCAGACAGAAATGGATCAAACCCTGGTGCCAAGGGTTCAATGGCAATACGGTGCTGAGTCCCTGGTGCTCGTGCTGGAGCAGGGGCAGGGTGTGAAGTATCTGCTGGGACTCTGCTCCATGTGGAGCAGAGCCCTCATCCTCACTCCTGCCCTGTGCGGTGCAGAGGGACGGGGCTGGTGAAGGTGGCCATGGGGGGACGGGGACAATGGTGGTGGCCACAGGGACACCAGGCTCGTGTGGTGGCCACAGGGCGACAGGACGTGCTGCTGGCACGGGGTTGTGTGCTGGGGAGCTGGGGCAGCGCCCTGCCAGCAGTGGCAGCTGAAGTCACTTGTTGGAAAGTCTGTAAACTCCAGCTACAGCTGCACTTGTCAGGGGCTGTAAGGGAAGTGTAATCAGCCACAGAGATTAATTTGCATCTCAATTAGGAAAGAGTCAGGAGGAAGCATAGGGTCTGTTGCTGGAAGGTTGTGGAAGAAATCTCATCAGGCACAAAAGGCTCCCAACTCGGTGCTCCAGTGAGCGGAGGACAATATCCGAGTCCGGTTTCCATGGGGACCAGGACCGCAGAGCCGCGGGAGCATCTCGCTGCGCCACAATCGCTTGGTCATGATGACACAAATTCCACTGTCCTACCCAAATACAGTTTTCTGTTGGAAATCTCTTTGAAGAAGGTAACTATGGCAGACCACATCAGACCTTTTCTGATCTATTTTTTATGTTTATGTAGCTGTTTCTGTTTTAAGGAATTCGTTAGGGCAAGAGAAATATTCATTCAAAAATAATTAACTGTATTTAAACTTCAGTTTAAAGCCGTTCTGGCTGCAGGTTCTTTGTGTCCATCAAATGGCACGTGATGGCTCTGTGCGGGAGCCAGCCCAGGGCGGTGCAGGCACAGCTCAGTTGTCTTTGGAACAGTGAAAGCCCCCTGTGTCTGTAGCTGCTGCAATGCTGCCATGGATGAGTGTGCATCAGTGTACATTCAAAATTCCCGTGTTATTCCTCCTTGGTGCCACGGAGCACTGAGGCTGAGCGGCTGCAGCCCCTGCTAATTGTGGCTCTTGCCATCCTTGAGTAACTGCTGAGCGTGAGGCAGTGTGTGCTCCAGCAGCCTCTCCAGGCTGCTTTTCTAGGCAGGAACTGTGACTTTAAATATGCCTGTGATTTATGGAAATCATGAGCAATAAGGTGACTTAAATTTTATAAGAACATGAAACAGTAATACTAAAATGGCTGTATAAAAAGGTAGATATCTCTGCAGGGTTTTGAGAGCGTTCGAGCCTCCTTTTTATGTGCTGGGGAAAGGAAGGAACAACTACTTACAAACAAAAAATTATATATCAAAACTAAGCGAGGGTCTGTTCAGGATCCAGAAGTGCTGAATATTTCACAAACTGGTTGGAGTGGTGCTGTAAGGCTGCATCTCCAAGCTCTCTTGCAGCTTGTATGGAATGAGCTGTGTGCTGGACCGGGGTTTTAAACACTTGTGTGATCTGGAGTGCATTGCCCTAAGCTGCAGAAGAACATGTCTCTGGGAGCTGAGCTTGTCTGTACAGATAAATACTGGGGGGAGTCGGGGTTTGGATTGAAGTATAGTGAGTCTGATGGACAGCTGCTGTCTGAGCTGACAGTTTCTGAGCTCAGGAGCTGGTAAACCTTCAAATACAAAATTGCAACTAGTTTGGCAGGTGTCAGGCACTTTGGTTGGCCCATAATTTAGTGCTTGTATCCAAAAAGACTTTGGGATTTGGGGATAGTGATGTCTGAGTAAAAAGCTCCCTTAGAATAATGCCCAGGGTGTTATTTCTATTATCTTACCACTCTGGGTTTTTTTCCTCCACCAGTGCAGATAACTCTTGTACTCCCAGTCCTGCCTGGTCTCAGTAACTGAATTTGAAGGGAAATAGGAAAAAATCCCAACCTGCCTGAAGTGTTACCTCAGCCTTGACCAGCTCTTTGTAAGCTGCCTCGGGGAGGGTGGAACATGTCCCATGTGCCAGCACCAGTGGGCTTCTTCCCTGCATTCTTGGGGGAATCCTGGTGGTCTTTGAACTATTTCCTTTGCAATTAAAGCTACATATGTCCTGTAAATGAGTAAATAGGGAGCTAGTTCCTGTTGGGGTTTATTAACACATTGAGTATAAAATTATTTCTGTAAACAATCCCACTTTTAGGATAAATTGCTTTGGTCTTATGGATAGAAAAGGGGGTTTGATCTCATTCTGCATTCTGTTGATTTCTGCATGTTTTTTGTACTCTTCTCCAACACCTTGACTAGAGCACAGTGCTCCCCCCTCCAGGGGAGGAAGAAGTAGCTGATGGGGTAGGCATGGAGACCCGTGGCTGTCAGCCACAGCTCCTGCTGTTGAAACTGTCCACTTCAGGTGCTGTGCAGGTGTTCCTGGCAATAAAATCCTCACAGGTCTCTGGCATCAGCTGTGCCACTTCTGCCTTTTCAATTAATATAAAATAGAATTATAGAGGGGCTGACCGAAAACCGCTGTGGCAGTTTGTGGCCTGGTTTCTGGAGTTGTTCACATTACATGTTGTTCATTCAAAGAGAAAGCCTGAAGGTAAAAATTTGAATTTCTTTTTCAGTTTCTCATGTTTAGAGCACTTTGCTGTGACATAACACATCTGTGTGTCCAGCACTGGAGCTGTCTGTGCACTGGAACAAGCACAAACGAACATGGTGGGGATGAGAACACTTTACAGAATATCTGAGCACTGGATGTCACCATTTCCCTGCTCACAGTTTGCAGTCCTGCTTGTGGGCCAGAGGAAAACATGGCCCTTACACTGGAGAAGTAATTTGATACATGAGTAACTTACCGTTTTTCCACTGTAGTGACCGTGGTGTGCCTGCTGGCCTGTGCCAGCTAGCAGCTCAGTGGGCAAAGCCAAAACT